AAATTTTGTACACAAAATCTACACATTCTTTTAGGACACTACGTGGGAAACAAAAATTTCGGTTATTTCGCAATAAATTTCAGATGGAGAAATATTTTTAAAATCAAAAAAAACCGAACGACATCATGGACTTTTTATTTTGCACGACATAAATATTGGTTATTATTCTTACTTTTAATAAATCCAGCACAGTATATAATTGAATTTGCAGGAAAATAAAATATTATTTTTCAATATTTTTGATTATCGTTAAAAAAAACCTTAGAAATACCAAATTTAATTTCATATATTTTAAATTATTTAACAAAATTTCGATAGAATTAATAATCCACCTCTGCGTTGAACGTACGGTGGTAAAAAGTAAAAAAAAAACTACAAGATTTTTTGACAGTAATATTGATTATAATATCGCAATACCCGTTGTACTTTTTTTTTTTTAATTTCAACGGGAATTTAATGTATATCTGTAAGCAATGATAAGCCATTTCTAACGAAAAAACAACTTTGAGCCAAGTTCAGTTGATAATTTTGCCTTTTCAACTATACAATATATGGTATTATGTATATATTATGGTAAAATGATTAAAATAATGAGCGTTTCCATGACAAAAATGATTGTTTAAAAAAGATTAAAATAATAAAAATTTAATAATAACAAAAAATAAATAGAAATTGTTGCCAATGACAACCTTATTTTTAATTTGTCAATCTTTTTCAACCTTAAGACCGAGTTTTTCCTCATTATCTCGAATATTAATGAGAATTTCAAAAAATATCCACTCTATAGTACCACTCAAAAAAAATTTCCTTTCAGAATAGATGCTATACTTGATAATCGAAGTATGCTTTCTGGTTGAAAAAGTGTTCACATAAAAAAAAAATAATAATAATAATAAACATCATTGTAAAACCAATACATTCCTCGTTCCATTGAGAATCTAAATCTATGCGCTGTACTGGGTGGGTGAGTGGAAAATGAAAACACGTAAAAACGTCATCTTCAAAATGTTGTATATTTTAGTAAGTACAGTAACAACACTACACTACTACAGTACTATTAGGTTCTTATGATTTTAGAACACTTTTCGTTCACCACTGACCCACTTTGCACCTATTTTTTTTTTTCGTTCAATATACTATTACGAACAAAGCAAAACGGGAATAAAAGTAAAAAAAATAAAAAATTGACACGAACAACCCCGAACACGGAACAGCAAGCAGTATAATTAATGTAAATCAATATTAATAAATAAGTAATAGTAGAGAGAATTCCGAATCAATTACAAAATATTAAAAAAAAAATTCCGAAATGAATACGTCCATGGGGATTCCATACATTTTATGCAGGTATAGAAGCTTAAAAAACATTTAATATATTATACAAAATAAACCTGATTTAAAAAAAGCTGTTCTAGGATAACGGGGACGGGTGCAGCCACTGTTATAAGTGGCAAATTGGAAAAGTAGGATATAGACGGGAATTTAATGTTTATCCGTAAGCAATGGTTAATCTATTGTTAACGAAAATATGATTCTGAGCGAAGTTCGGTTGATAGTGTTGCTTTGTTAGTAATATAATATATTCATCATATTTCGGTAAAATAATTACCTAATATGCATCAAACATTTTTTTTTAATAATATTTGTTTAATATTGTACCTATTTTACCGTTTTTCCCATTTATTGGGAAAACTCCTGGGAAAATCAAATAATGATCTCCCTAAAGTACCACCCCGATCAGATTTCTTTTCCGAACAAGTGCTATTATTGTAAATCAGAGCAAAATTACTGGTAGAAAAGTTGTTCACAGCCAAAAAAAAAAAAAGTCATAATATTTTTTAACTAATACCTACATTTCGTACATTTTCCTCGTTTTCCTCCGGTATTTTTTTTTCGGTTTTTCCAATTTATTGAGAAAACCCCTGAAAAATCAAACAATTACCTCCTTAAGGTTCCTCCCCAGTCCGGTTTCCTTTCGGAAAAAATGCTGTTATTGAAAATCGGAGAAAAATAATTGCTTGCATAAAAGTTGTCCACAGAAAACAAAAACCATCTAAAATGTACATTTATGAGTAACATTATAACGTTTATCGATTTTACCTGTATAGGCTAAACACTGTACGTTTGTAAAACGCATACTTACGGTTTTTGTCGAATATATTTCCCGAAGAGAGTGCTGCACTATACACCGTGTCCGTAATGTATATCCTTTGGAATTTAGGACACTTTTAGCGACTCCCTCTGGACCGTATCAGATACCGCACGGGAATAGTAGTAGAAGGTTTCGCGGACGGATCGAAGTGATAAAAGCCGAGTACGGATTTCACCGTGCTGTTGCGGGAGTAGGACGTACACCTTCTGGGAGTTTCGACTTTCAACCCCGTCCCGACCGTTTTTGTTGTAAAACTTCCGCCAAAGATTTTTGGCTGTAGCTGTGTATCATACAATGTTATAATATTGCAATTATAGTTGGTCATTTGTATTATATTATTCGGTTATTTATTATCGTTGTGGTTTTGCAACGAGTATATTTCTGTAAACGGTACGAACATTACAATATAACTATGATGCGGATCTACTGATGGAGTTGTTTTTCACAAATAAATCAAATAAATATGTGTAAATAAAAAAAAAAATTATTTATAAAAATAAAATAAACCGTATTTTACGGGCGGTTTCGAATTAAAAATTCATCATCACTGATGTATCACAGTCAAAATATAAAACGCGAGCATTGACCGTTTTAATAACATTGACCGTTTTAATAATTTTGTTTTTTAATTTATTACTTTATTTTTTTTAATTTTCTCCTGTACGGTATAAAATAACCGCCGGTGAGACGTGATGAGCCCGATCGTATTCGAAGCGCAGTAAATTAAATAGGTACTAAACCGCGTGCTTCATTGTTTTCGTGTTGGTCGTATTAAACGAAAACCGACTAGGTTTATTTCGACGAAACATCTTATTAACCGGCAAATAATGGATTGGACACAGTCATTTGATTTTTTTTTTTCTTTAGTCTTACTATATGTAAAATACGTCAATATAGAATACGCGTATACTACAACAACGCTCGTTTCGAAATTCGATAAAAAAAAAAAAAAAAAAGATTATATTTTTCGATATTAATAAAACGAACTTTTCCGAAAACGACTGGCCCTACAATTTTTTTTTTTCATTGTTTTGTTAGACTCGTGTTTACACCGTTCTAAAATGATTTAATTTATATATAGATATTTTTTTTTGTTTTTTTTGTTATCTTCTTCTATAGGGTGACCATATTTAAGAAAAAAAATAAAAAAAACAGGACAAACTAATTTCAGCACTACATTCAAAGTAATGGATTGTTACTAGTAATTTTTGTTTTTCTTTTGTTAATTTTTCGTAATTATGTCTATATTATTAACTGTTTTAAATACACCCGTAGGTATATCGTAGATGCATTATCACCGCCTCACTGGTATCGATTCTAGTGGTAATTATTTTTCACGATTACAATCGCTATCACTGTCGTAGTCTGTCATGATTTTGTCAACAGATATATTTTATTCGAAGTTGAAATAAAATTTTAATCCGTATGTTGAAATATTTGTATCCGATTAAATAAAATACGAATTGATGCGGAATAATCGCGGACGACAGGAAAAAAAAAAAAAAAAAAACGGCACAAAAAGCGTTCTGAAAGAATTCCGCCCGGTCAAGGGGACACGAAAAGGCCGAATAAAACGACGATCCTGCTTGAAACAGAACGTACGGTCACCTTATCCTGTGTGTTATTACGTAAAAATATAAAAACCGAGATGCGCACTGTTGCAGTGTAAGCGAACGATATTAATTAGAACGCGTTTCGGACCGTTAACAGTTTCAATTGTGCGAAAACCACGGCGAGAAATGTTTAAAAAAAAAAATCCGCAAGAAGAACTTTCGGTAAATCATAACGCGTTTATTAATCAATATCGCGCACGGGCCGTATAATAATACGCAATTACACGTAGTACGGCCGATTTCGATTTTCGCATAACACGCGAAACCGGCCTCGTCGACCCTGACCCACATCTCGGATCCTCCGGCGGATCGGTCACCGGAGAGGGGTGCGAACATAATAATAATAATAATAATAATAATGTTATATAACATAATATTATATTCGAGGCGCATCCGCGGCTATCCCAATACGTAACGCAGTCCGTGCGGTAAACGGGGCTGCGTGTGCGTAGGGGCTGTGGTGGGAGGGGGGGGGCGGAAGCGACGCGTACTCCATATTAATATCATTATTACGTCGTATACGCGTGTATAGGCGCCATGTACACAGTGTGTGGACGGCCTAAAAGCACGCCGCCGCTCCGGTCGTGTGTGTCCGTGGTGGAGGCGGCGGCGGCGAACAAGAATCAATCTTTGCGTGCGCAAAAGGTCACCACCGCCACCGCGGCTGGCCCGTCGTCGGCGGCGGCGATGGCAGCCGTGGCGGCACCCCATATACACGTGCGGGGTCGGACACGGAGAGGGATAAACGCGCGCGCCGGGCTGAATCCGAGCGGGAGGCCGACACGGGTAACGTGTAGCGTCGTGCGACGGCGGCGCTGCAAGATCGGAGCCGGGGGGCGGGAGCGGTTTACCGGGGGCGGGGGCGCGGTAGGGTGGTGAGATGAGGTACGCCGCCGCCGCCGCCGCCGCCGCCGCCGCCGCCGCCGCCGAAAGAAGCGGGGCACGAGGCTGCGTTTAGCAAAAGCACCTGTGGTGCCTCACGGCGCACGATCGAACCGGGCGGCGGCGTATGCTCTGCGCACCGCGCGGCCGGGGCGGGCTTTTGCGCGAGGCGCTCCGCACACATATTATAACGGTAGTATTATAATAGTATATTACAACGTAACCGACGAGAGGGACAACAGTACGCACTACAACGGCTCAGGGTCATGAGCTGACCCGGCCGCGCGCCACAGACACCGCCACTACACGCAACAGCGAATCGCGTCAGACACCACTGCCGCTGCCGCTGCCGCCGCTGCCGCCGCCGCCGCCGCCGCCGCCGCTGCCGCTGCTGGGTCGTCGTCACTTCGGCTGTCAACCCGACAACGACGATACGGTTGCCGTCGTCGGCACCGCCGCCTTTGTCGACCACGTGTGTGTCCATTAGTCATACAGGTGAGTGTGTGTACAACACGTTTTGAATTTCTTTTTTCATTTAATCGAGTTTTTACATTTTTACCGCGTAGATCCAATTATTATTATGATATAAACATGATGGCGATTCGTTTTACCGGAAACCAGTGTAAGCTATTAATTCCTTATTCGTTGGTAAAAAAAAAAAAAAAAATAAATAAATAATAATAATATTAATAATAAGAAACGTCGTATAATCGAGTGCGTCAGTAAATTTTGGCATGCCCATATCGTAGTATCTTGTTAGCGAGACGGCGCGTTTTTAAAGTTAAGAAATATCTAACAGCTATATTCCTATAGTTGATGACCGAACCAGCATCGCGTTACGGTATCAATCACGTATTTCCAGACGGGCCAATAGGTATAATTGTTATATCATAAAATGTTAAAATATAAAAATCTACGAGAAAACGTTACATACTTATATATTATATATTATCGTGACATGTGGGTATTGTTTTTCTAAACACGTCGCAAACGGCTGCATCTGAGTTCCGTCCCAATAACCTATACCAATCCCGTCCCTGATAAAAAGAAGTTTAATTAAAAAATCACCATATCAGTACAATCAAAAATAATAAATTCAGACACGCGGATACATAAATAATGACTGTAAAGTTTGAAAGTAAAATAGTATTATCTTTATTTTCAAATAATAAATACAGTATTATTAAATTCGATTATTTAGTGTGGTAATTAAAAACAATATTATCTCTAAATTATTATTTAAAAATTATCTCTAAAATTATTTCTAAATAATATAAAATTGTTATCGTATTCGTACATTTTATACTTTATTAATATAGTGTAGAAAATGCGAAAAGGGACGGAACTCGTACGACCAATTAAATTACATGGGATGGAATTTAAAGCTACACTTTAAAATCCCGAGACAAAACTGGAATATCCTTAAATTTAAATTTTACGTTTGGGACGGAACTCGGATGCAGCCGTGCAAACTCGTCAAATTCGTTTATCGTCGTTTATCGAGTTCGCATTATTTTGTCGTAGACTTATTTACTTATTCACGTTATTTATCCGAATGTTTATAGTTAAACCTGCTTAAAAAAAAAAAAAAACGACTTGGGTCTAAAAAAATTTATTTGGAAAAAATATCAAAACATTACTTTTAACCAACCAATAATATTTGGTGATGAAACTCAGATGCTTAATAAGTGAGTACTCGACGATATACGCAATTAGAAAAATTCTGACATACTTCACATGATGGGTGGGTCAATATTGTAAGCGAGAAGTTGGGTAGGTGGGATATACAGGTGAATTTAATGTATACCTTTACGCAATGAGTAATCACTACTCACGCAAAAAAATATAAGCGGAATTATATTTACATTTCGTAAATTTTCCTGATTTATTTTCCATTTACTATAAAAACCCCTAGGAAAAACATAAAATGGACTACCCCAGTCCGATTTTCTACCAGGAAAAGTGTAACACTTAAAAATCGGAGCAAAATTTATAGTTGAAAAAAAAACATCGTTGTAAAACTAATACATTCCTCGCTCCGCTCAGAATCTGACAAAAAAAAAATCACTACATTACACTCTAATTTTTACTTTTTACCACAACTTATAATGAACCTGCTTCGGTTAACTTTTCAAGCATTTGTGTTTGTACATACAAAATTAAGAAAAAAGTTTCTTATCATTTTTCGATAGGAGCTAGTTTACTGTTCGAAAAGTTGTTTACAGATGGAAAAAATGTTTTTTTAAAAAAACTCTCATCGTAATAAAACTTATAGATTCCTTTTTCTGCTTCAAATCTTAAACGCGTGGTACAATAAATCTTATAGATCCCTCACTTCGCTCCGAATATAAAATGATCCTGCTGTGGGATCGGAAAGCGCGTTTGGAAGTTCAAACTTTTTTGTCATTTCTACAATCCGTGATTTTCCGCGTTTTCGCTTACCTGAATTCTGTACATGGGTTCACATTTAAGGTTTCTTCACCATAAATTTCACTGATTTTCATTCTCGAAAACACATAGTCAACCTTAACATCATGTGTTTATCTATAATATGTTTACCTATTCACCAATGTTACGACAAAAAGAAAAGATAGATTACTCCAATAAAATGATTTTACAGTCGTCTTCGAATGAAATATATTTTTTTTTTTTAAATATTCTAATAGAATTTTAATGTTGCGTCTAACCATACAAAAAAAAAAAACCAAATTCCACGTCTTAACTAATTTGTAAATACTTTGTAACTTATTTATCAAACCTTTGGTTTGGCGCAAGAAGGCCGACCAATCATCAATTTTCAATTTATTTTTCTTCTACGTTGGCCTTTCTTGCACAAAGCCACAGAAATAGTGGGTTCGGTTAAAAGGATGCATATTATAGGTACATTTATTTTGGTACACAGCAACTTTTCGTCCAACAGAACCCGTTCGGCGCTGTTAGTCAAAGTGAATGTCCATAAATAATGGGCCTCTATTGTCAAACTCAACGGCGGTGTACTATAAATAGAGAAGATCGGGGTGAAAATAAAATATAAATAATCGTAATAATTTTCATTTGCGGTAGGTGATTTCGTATCCGCAGTATTGACAATGTTGAGCCCGAAGATGCAGAGATGCGTCCGGGTCGTGGACAATCAATTGCTGATGTTGTCTGACCGCGCCCGCACTGATAGCACGCTCACCGGGAATCTTCACAAAAAAGCATCGGACAGCGGAAGATGGAAAAACCGATACTTCGTACTCTATCAGGTATGCGATTATAATATTATACAGTTTCGCTCTTTCCTATATATAGTTATTGCTAAAAAATAATATGTGTGCGACAATTATCAATGATTCGATTATAATAACGCGATTGCAAATTAATTTCGCATCGTTCAAATACATTTTAATAATCTATAATCTGTATGCGCGATACTATATTATTCTGCCCGAATGAATGTAGAGAAAAAAATGATGGGGATGGGTGCAGTCACTGTTATAGGTAATTCAGTGTATACCTGTAAGCAACGGTTGCTAACGAAAAACCTATTCTGAGCGGAGTTCAGTTAATAGTGATGCTTTGTCAACAATATATATTAAGTGTTATTATAGTAAAATAACTACACAGCCGTTATACGATTTCCTTTAACAATATTTGTTTAATGAACTGAATTCCCGTTTATCCTCGGTTTTTTTTTTCAGTTTTTCACATTTAATGAGAAATTCCCGAGAAAATCGAAAAACGACCTCCCTAAAGTACCTCCCCAGTCCGATTTTCTTTCTTTTGGAAAAATCGCTGCACTTAAAAATCGGAACAAGATTTCCGGTAGGAAAGTTGCGCACAGATAAAAAAAAAAAAACATCTTCGCTCCATTTATAATCTAAAAATAATTATATACATACAGTATTTTCGTTTTAAACTTATTATATCGTTTGGAGTTTGTTTCGAGCGTTTTAATAAATTATTATTAATACATATTATTGTAGTAATCGAGGGAATAAATAAATAATTAATGGAACGAACTAAAGTTCGGCTTTGACGTCCGTCGATTTATTGAAATTATACAATTTTAAATGTCTACTTTAATTTTTATGAATGTTTAAACCATTTAAAATAACAATAATCGTCTGATCCCGTTGAACATTGTCCAAATTAAGATTTTACAATTTGACCAGATACTGTGCAGTTCTGTACTGTTGAGAAATTATGGTTTTAAATATTATACATTTATTTTCCGCGAATATTTCACGGAATACCTAAAATTATAAATTAAGAATAACCGTTAGGATAATAAATTATAATCGCTTTTTTTTTCTTTTTTTTTTCTTTAACGATTGCGTTGTTTAACTTGTTATTATCCACGTCATAATTTTTTCAGAGTTTTCTGCAACAACAATATTTCTCCTGTAGACCCCTTATTTTAATAGTCGTTCCCAGTCTATTCCCGTTATTCTCGCCACGTTAGAATTTATAAAATCTACTGGTTTCTTAATTTAACAAAATTATTATCGTTCTGTATTTATTATTATAATTTGTTTTTCGTTATACGTTACATAATATTTGCACGGTTATTTGTTTTACCTGTTGTTGTTGTTGTTTCTTTTTTTATAATAATTATTATTATTTCGTTATACCTATAATTTTAGGTTTCTGATGACATATTATTATAATTTGTCTAGTCATAATAATTAAAATATTTGAAGCTGATAAAAAAAAAAAAAAAAACAACCTTTTCAATATAAAAAGACGAATGGACGGTGAGCACTTGGAAACGATTGAAATTAATATCGTGATGATAATAATTGTTTGATAAGAAACTGAAAGAAATATTGTCTTAACAATAACATTATAAGGTTATTTTAAATCTCGCGTAATTATGAAAAAATGGTCAGCGGATTTTAATCTGTACTAGCATAATGTATAACTGCGGTAGTAATTAATACATTATTCTACGAATGGTATGAATACTATAGGTACGGCGTTTAAAAGCATATTATGTACATGATACAGGGTGTCCCACGGATATCTGACAAACGAAATAACTATTGTTCTCTAAACATACATTTAATACATATATATTATATTATATATCCTGGACTTGAGTAAAAAGTGTCAATGTCACTTTTTGGTTAAAATGAGTTATGTGGCTAATCATATAAAATTGTATACGCTTTTTCTTATGGTGAAAAGTCATATCTTAATAATCATTATTGTGAGATTTAAGAAGACATTTTTGTTAGTAAAATGACTATTGAACTAAAATACTAAAAATGTGTTTTATTCTTAATTTCTCAAAAGTGATTAAAATTAAGATTAGCCATTATTGACTCGGATGTGTTCTAATATTTTTAAGTGATATTTTTTGTGTTATAATCACTTGAGTCTTACATCACATATTTTCGACCAGCGCTCGTGTTGATAAACGCGACGAATTGGATGTCGATTACGTTTATTGATTTTTAAAGAAATTCCGACTTGCAGATAAACTACAATGAACATAATAATGTTATAGGATTACTTTCGAGGGCAGGGTTTAAACAGGTTTAGTACAATTGTCGAGCACAATAATTGTTTGTTTTTAGATATTAAATAAATATGATAAACTCATAAATAGGTCCCCAGAAGCTAAATATCTTAACCTTACAACTTTTCGGCCATCCAAAAGTGGGAGAACCCGCCTCTTTTTATTTTTTTTTGAGGGGGAGACACGACTATCGATGATGTGTGTAAAATACCGCGAGCAGACAGAAGTAATCCTATACTCTGTAGGCATTTTGTCACAGATTGATAATGAAATATGAATATCGCCACGGACAACCGTGTGTCATATGGACACGTTTCATGCCGCGCGACAAAAAATCGCTTCGTGTGAACCCGTTTTTTGATACTGTCCAGTGTCCACGCACACGTCATACGATAAGTATAATATAGGTACCTAATAGAGTAATAATGTTCACACAGATCGTCCAGTGTTGTCGGTTTCAAACAGAAAAAAAAAAGTATAGATTGGTACTTGGTACTTACCTAAATTTTACGACAACCAGCCGCAGCCGCGACAACAGTAATAATTATTGTCAAACTGAACTTAACACCACAGTAAATATATGATTCTGTACGTTTGTAATTTTTTGAAGTACTTTTTTATTCCGTATGTTTGACGAAAATAAGGTTTATTTTTACAACCTGACCCTTAAATTAGTACGGTTCCGTACAAAAATGAGTGTAACGTTGCTAACGCGTACGCAGCCGGATCCCACAACGTTTACACGTCATAAAATATGCTTACAGTTTTTAATACCTGCTATACGTTCTAAACCCGCTGACCGGTAAAGCTACCGTGTGATGAACGGTTTTTTTCCCCCGTTCTGCGCTTGATGAATACAACAATGGCAATCTAGCGACCACGATCCAAGCTCAGAGGATGTGCCAACACCAAGACATCATATGATGACCGTAATATATTATTTCCCCACAAAATCCCCCCCCCCAATAGATGTCTACATTTCTAATATATTTAGGATCATTGTTTATACAATTTTGTAATATTGTTTATATAATTAGTATAGTTCCTATGTCTTATTATTTTTGATTTCTTTCTTAAGATAGAAAATTTAATATAATTAGAAATATGATTAGATTTCTGAAAAGCTAAATGATATAATTTATTTTCTTCAATAATACGTTTTAATTCATGGCTAAACCATAAAATGAAATTAGAATGATTAGATAATGTAAATGTTGATACACAATCATTTATGAATGAAAAAATGTTTGAATAAAATAAACTTATATTAGAATTTATATCCTTATTCTGATAGATACTGTTCCAATTTATAGCGCCTATTTTAGTAGTAATTAGTTTATTATTTGCTTTATTCCAATCATACATAGTTTCATAATGGGTTAGGTTATTAATACAATGATAGGGTGGAGAATAATTAGTAATGCGTGGAGAGTGATGTAAATCAACATTTACAATAGGTAAACTATTAAATAATATAGTACAACAATTGAAGTTTGTTTATGACGTACTCAAGGAAAATATTATTCTGATTCAAAAAATTATTAATTTGTTTAAAATTTTAAAACGACAAATCGTTAAAAAAAAAAAAAAGCATAATTAGCGTAGTGGAAAGTTGCCGATGGTAGATTAAAATCGCCTAACAATAGAAAATATGTATTAGGTTAATTAGTTAACAATTCACCAGTAATATCCAAGTATAATTTATACAAATCTACCAATGCACCAGTAGGAAAATACACTGAACTAACAATACATATCTAAATATAAAAGTATAATTTCTAAAGCACACATGGATATATTTAACAATTGAATCTAATTTATTATTTACAACAATGAGGACACCACCTCCTCTAGAGAGACTACTAGTATTAACATTTCGATCATATCTATAAGCATTACAATTATTACATTTGTGAATAAATGATCGAGTTTTGGTCGATTGTCGGATTATCGTACCCACGTCCCACTATGTACAAATGCTATTTGCTTTCTGTGAGTCTATTTGCAGACTTAACCTTAATGTTTTGTACAATATCTATACTTATACCCTGCACCACCAACTTATTAGAATTATAATTCGTAATATGGATAGTAGATACCTCTAACTACACACTTGTACGTATTTACAATGTTTTTTTTGTGAAGGTGTTTTTAATAAAAAAAAATACGGGCTTGGTTGGAAACCGCGGCCCCTAGGCCCTCCTGGAGACGCCTCTGTTCACCAGTTTAATCAATGATAAAATTAGATAACTTTTGAAACCATGGAAAACAAAAATATTATTAGTTAACATTCAAATAAGTTTTGTTATTAAGCAATATGACCATCATTCAATGAATATTAAACTACTCAATTTGGCTGTTATCTTCTATATTTTAACATTCTACAATGTTAACAGTGGAACAGATGCAACTATTATAAATAATTGTATATATACCTGTAAGAAACGATAAGCCATTGCTTATAAACAAAATTCTGAGTGAAGTTCAGTTGATAATGATGCTTTGTCAACAATATATGTCATACTATAGTAAAATAATTAAATAAACTTTATATATTTTCTTTACTAATATTTGTTTAATGTTGTACCGATTTTCCCAGTTTTTCTACGTTTTTCTTCTGCTGGGAAAACTCTTAGGAAAATCGAAAAAATGACCTCCCTTAAGTACCTTCCCAGTCAAATTTCAGAAAAATTTCTATCATTATAAATTGGAGCAAAATTGCTGGTAGAAATTTTGTGCACAGATCAAAAGAAAGCCGTAACATATTTTAATTAATACCTTTTGCATTTCTTATATAATCCCGTTTTTCCTCTTCTTTTTTTTTCTGTTGTTCAAATTTGATGAGAAAAATCTGAGCAAGTCCTCTGATAGAAAAGTTACGCACAGATAAAAAAAAAAAAAAACATCTTTGTAAAACTATAAGCTTCTTCGCTCCACTCAGAATCAAAAATAGCTTTATGGTCATAATAATAATATTAAACAATGCTCAAATTGTCTTATCGCATCAGATTGTTTGGAAATTAGATTACAATATGAAACGACGATCGCAATGATATGATTCAAGTATATAAAAACACATTGGAAAAAAAACTAATTACATACTATCGAATATTTCAGACACGGTTAGTGTGTAATTAGATATATCTACTATCTATACAACGAAGTATAATTATTCTAATAAGTTGTTGATGCAGGGTGCGAGTTTAAATATTGAACAAGTCATATTATAAGCAAACAGACTCACAGGAAGGAAATAGTATTTGTACATAGTGGAACGTAGGTACGATAACCCGAAAGTCAATCAAAACTCGATAGTTTATACAAAATTTAAAATATTAAAGAGTGTCTATAAATAATTGAAATTTAACGATAAACCATTAAAATTATAAGATTATCTATATGAAAACATCAACGTTGTCAGCGTGATAAATGACTGTAAAATTATAATACTATGAATTAAGTTGAAAATTAGCGACAGCGATAACTCGGGTTTGGAGCTAACACAAATTTTTATTTTTATATATTCTGAAAACACTATTTGAGCACTCAAATTTGTTGTTATAGCGGGAATTAGTACTTTAAATTCTCCCGCAGCGTGAAGTTAGCAAGAGATTTTTATAATCGTGGATAATCGATGGCAGGATGAAGCACTTATTTTTTTTGTACATTCTAAAAGCACTATAATTGAACACTAAAATGGTAGTATCGCGGGAATTAGTGCTTTTCAAGTTCTCGCTAACTTCACGAATCTTTGCATTTGTCAGATCTCCATGAGGCACCCTATGTATGGAAATTCTCATTTTTACGTTTTTATATGAACATGCTCAACAATATGGTCTATATAACGTTTTAAACTTGTAATAAATACTTATAATTATAATTATAGAGGTAACATAGCTATAATAAATTATTTCTACCAACATTTACTGAAAATTGATCATTTGATTAAAATATTCTAAAAATAATTATATTCGTGTAGTTTATATATAGGGAATCTATACACATTCAGTTGATTCTTTATGTGTATACTTTTCGAACCGGGTAAATTAAAGATATATATAAACAAAAAGTTTTTTTTTTTTGAAAGCCGATTATAATTTTATTTTATTTAATCAGTGGTAAAATACGATAGTTTAATATTATATTAGCATAGCGTAATAATTGTTTTCCAAGTTTGAAACGATAGCTTTGCATATTTTTATCCCTTTCAAGAATCGAGTTATTGAAATTTCGCGATTCATTAATATTAATATTCTTTTAAACTCACCTCTCCACTAAATATTCCTTATCCGTTGCACGAATATACTCCTGTTTTCCATGAGGGTTTATCAACTCTAGCTAATAGAAGAATAGACAATAACCAGTGGCGGCTCGTGGGTAAAATAATTGGTGATGCACATTGAAAAAATTGTATACAATAATTACAGTCGATCTAGAAGACAAGAACTAAAATTAATATTTTTTTTAAATAGGAAATTCTTAGATAGAAATCTACAATATATTAGGGAATTAATACGTTTGTTTTTGTTACATTACATTAAATAATATTATTTAGGATTATTTAGGGTCAAGTCTGTATTTAATAAAATAAAATAAAATATTAAAAAAAACCAATTGCAGTTGACAACTGTAAAAGTCTGTTTACTATTTTATTACATAATTTGATTCCTCGTTTTAAAATAATCTATTACTATATTTATTATTGTATAATATATTAATATATATTTAATTTTCATATTCGAAAACGAATGAAACATCGCATCTTTGCATAGATATTTTAACATCTGCAATGCTAAAGAATGTCTATATTAAATTCCTTTAAAAATTCCAAAGTTGCTTAGCCTCGTTCAAAGAAAAACATTCTTTCGCCATCAGTTAAAATATGTGCAGCTTTCATACTAAACATTTAATAGAGTAATAATATAAGGACAAACGTTTCGTATTAAAACATTTTCGAAGTTATCATATATAATGAAGTTATCGCATATAAATGTATACGTTTTTAGATTCGGAGTGAGACCAGGGATCTATTATTAGTTTTACTATATTTTATTATTATTATTTTTATTTTTATGTCATTTTTATATCAAGTATAGCACCTTTTCTGAAATGTAATTTTATCTTGGAAGTGCATTGGAAAGATCATTTTTTAATTTTTTTAAGGGGTTTTCAAAATAATGGGGAAAAATCCCGAAAAAAAATTATAGATAAACCGGAAAATATTTAGGGTTTGCTGTGGTGTCACCGTTTTAATTATTTTTAATTTTTTCAACTTGTGTTTTCTACCAGAAATATTGCTCCTATCCAAAAATGACGAAAGACTGATTTAGTTCCTTTTAACTTACATATAGCCAGTGACAGAGAAAGTAATTTTTTGATATCTAGAGAAGCTTTCATACAAATTGGGAAAAACCAAACATTTAAATTGATTAATACAGGTTTGCCCGATTGCGGTCCAAATTTAGGTAGTCCTATTTTATCCTATAAATAAATATCTCGATTGCGTTCCAAGACATATTGGTTCACAAAATACTAAATAGAGTATAATCGTGTAAATAAATAAAACACAATTTCATATAAATATACTGATACATTTTTACATTATTTACATTATAATTGCTATTTAAACATATCATAGATGTCGAATTATTAAAATTTACAGTAAACATATAGGTAATGTAAAATATATAAATATTGTCAGATTAAAATTACATAAAAAATTTGGAAAAAAAAAATTGATTAGGTTGATTTAATTGTTGGTTAAATATCTTTGTTTTATCATCTTTAATATATACTGGAAAGCACTATTTGCGACAAATATGGAATATGGGTAGCTTATTTAAAGCACTGTATTATATTTATATAAAAATAATTTGGACGCAATCGGGGTTACTTATTTAATTTTAATAACCACTGAAAACGGTATTTCTTATCTACTTTGCACTGGCCGCAGTGGGGATATGAAAAAGGAAAAAAGGTAACTTTAGGCTACAATCAGAAAACGTCCGATTAATATTTACAGCAACGTGGCGTCTCTGTTTCATTATTTTAATTTATACAAACGATGTTTTCTAAAAATCTAAGAAATCTTGCCCTAATTGAAAAATGACATTAAGAGACCTTTTTTTTTAAATTTTTTATCTAGTTGTTAACCGGAAAAGGCGCTTTTTGATTTGTTTGTGTAGTTTGTTTTAATAATTGAATAAAACCTAAAAATACATAGAAAGAACCGGAAATTGTACAAATACAATTATTTTATTATACTATATTTTGTTTTTTTAATGCAATTCAGTTAAATATATTCGTAGAGACTTGAAATTTAGACAGGTAACTTAGATTTTATTTTTTTAGACGTGGAAAAACTTTCAAAACATATGATATATTTTTGAGCTATTTATAAACATTTAAATTTTATGAGTTTTGTACGTAATTTTTATTTGGTACTCTGTGTATACAATTGTTAGACTAAACAGAAATGCTTAGCAAATTTAACAAGAGGTATATTGTAAATCGTACGTAGTGGTAAAAAAAAAAAAATTATGTGTTATGTAGTAAATTTTTTTTATTAGAGTTAAAATCAATTTTTGATGAAAATCGTAAATTGTACGGCATTTCAAAACATGTATTACCAAACTTCACACTGAATATTTTTTCGTTAGCAATGATTTATTTTGTCATAGGTTGTCACATACTAATATGTAATATAAATATTGTTTGGACGAACTCACTATAATTAGGAAAAGTTAAACCAAGAAAAAGTTACATTATCTAAACAATTATGTTTACGGAACAAATTTGTATGATAATTGCTATTGTAACGCGACCCTTTTAATGGCCCCAACCGGTGTTTCTGCAATTAATTTTAATAGATAGTCACTGTATATCTGGTTTCATCTCTGCAAACTTATTCCTGCTAAGGACTAGTTAAGAAAAATAAGTAACGATACAAAAATATTACCATGTAGATTTCAAGAAGAATTTCAAAATATTAAATTCGTTAAATAATCAATAGAACAAATGTAGTACGTTGTTCTTAAATCCAAAATAGACAAAAAAAAAAAAAGCCGATATTATACTTTTAACAACAAATGAAATACTCCTATATTTTTTTCGGTTTTTCCCTATATTTTGACAATTCCTTGAATTCCTGGAAATATTGCAAATCGTTATTTTAATTTTTAGTTTTAAAATTTAAAAAATGTATACCTACCTACAGTAGAAAGTCGATTAACCGTCACTCTCTGTTATCCGTTATCAGTCACCGTCTTCCTTCTTCATAAAATACGAAACATATTGCCGCTCAAAAAGATCATACCTCAAAATAAAAAAAGAGCTGATACTGGGGATGGAAGCGGCCACTGTTGTAGGTGAGAAGTTGGGAAGGTAGGATACATAACGTTATTTCATTAATATCTGTTAATATCATTAATATCAACGATAAACCATTGATTGACGAAAGACAATTCCAAGCACAGTTTGATAATTCATAATTTGAAGTGCCGTAATTTTTTTTTTGCGATTTTCGTTTAAATTTGATTAGAAAACTCTTATTAAAAATAAAAAAAGTCGTCCGAAGATTTTTGGAAATTTTACCACGTCTAAGTAAGTCCAACATAAGTATTATTACCAAGTTTCAAGTCTCTACGTGTATTTATAACCAAATTACAGCAAGAAAATCTCAAAAATTAAAATTCCTTTAGAGTTTAAAAGTTGCTCAAAGGTTTTGGCAATGTTTTAAAAGAAGTTGCTACATCTAAAAATCGGAGTAAGTTTACTAGGAAAAAAGGTGTCCACAGACTAGAAGAAAAAAAAATAAACAGCTTAGTAAAACCAATAGCTCCCTCGCTACATTTGGAATCTAAAAAAAACAGAAGAAGATGACGGATTATTTTGTTTAGTATTTTTAGTATAGTATAATTTTTGTTATTATTATTTCATTATTTTTGTTTGCAAATACACACGTTTTAAAATATATACGTTTATTGCAAAATTTCTGTTAACCGTCCATTTGATTAACCATCATAGTCTCGGTCCCGTGACTGACGGTCAATCGAGTTTCTACTATATTTTAAGTTTATATTTATAATAAACTAATGCGAGAAATCTCATTTTGCGAGCGTGCTACAATTCTGGTGTTTTTTTTATAATTATTTACCTATATTTTATTTTGCATTTGTAAATTAATATTTCAATCGGTGAATTATAATACAAATTAAAAAATTAATTTATCAATATTAATATTGATGACCATAGAAACTAATCGATAGAATAAACAGACGTGAACGGTGGGACACGACGGACATAAATGGTATCAGGTATTTCCATGGACGTAAATAGGGTCCTCAAATGAATAGGGCTTGAGTCCAAAAGGACTATTGGTCTAAATAATAATAAAGGAAAATCAATACCGGTAAACAAATACCAAAATCAAAACATGGTTTATTATACACACATATTTTATACGTAATGAATTATTAGTGATATTTATATAATTGGACGATGCGGCCTAATTATACCCGTCATCCGCATGGCTGCACGACGATGAATTTAGGTGACAGGATAACAACTGATCATAGTTTATGGAACATTGTAAGTAGTGATGGGCCCTACCAAGTGAAAACTATCGAACTACTCGATAGTTTAACACTTCCAATTTACTCGGTTGTTTTTAAAAATTCAAAACTATCGAAACTCGGATATCGGACTATTGAATAGTTCAGTCTATTGATAATATCTATTCATTTGAAAAATATTAGTTTTTTTTTAAACTATCAATAGTCAAAACTAGTCGGTTCCGCCAATTACTAATTGAAACGTTAAAACAAAAATCCAATGAAAACTTACCTACATATTATTACAATTATTATATTTATAGCTATTACCATTGATTATACATATTATAAATGCGGATTATATTTATTATAACAAAGATTATCTGTATCTTCGGGAGGGCTTAAAATGGTTCAGAGAGGGCTAAGCCCGCCTAAGTCCGCCTAAGTCCCCCCTGTTTACGTCCACGGGTATTCCATTCATTTTATGTACGTATAAAAACTTAAACAACTTATACCTACATAAACCTATACCTATACCTTATACCTATATAAAATAAGTCTGATTTAAAAAAACCTATCCTAAGATAATGAGAATGGATGGAGCTACTATTGTAGATGGAAAGTTGGGAAGATAGTATGTAGACAAGAATTTAATATATATATCTGTAAGCAACGATTAACCATTGCCAACAAAAAAACGATTATGAGCCAAGTTCGGTTGATAGTGTTGTCCTAGGTTTTTCCTATTTATTGTGAAAATCAAAAAATGACCTCCTTAAATTACCACTCCAGTTAGATTTTCTATGCTATTGTTGTAAATCAGAGCGAAATTTCTGGTAAAAAAGTTGTCCACCTTAAAAAAAATAAATAAACGTCATTGTAAAACCAATAACATTCCTCGCTCCACTCAGAATCTAAAAATTATACGTAATTATATCATTGGAAACAAAATGTTTAAATTAGTTTTTACTCCTTGATTAAAAATCTATTTTTCTATGACCATTAATGGTAAAATTAAGAGAAGGATTTAAAATAATTCAATGCAGTTATAAATATTTTATTTGACATTTTTCGTCTGTGTCCTGTTTATTTTCAAACTAAATTATAAATTTTAGTAAATTTTGAAAATAATTAAATAGAACAAAACTATCCCAAGTCCTATAAAATTATAATTTAAAATTGTGAGTTAGATTTACAGATCTTTCTGAAACTTGTTTCATTATTACTATTATTATTTATTACTTTTTATTCTGATTCGTATAGTTTAATTTACGACGCACTTCTACTATTGAGTACCGAGGTTTCTTGAAAAAGCAACAAATTTAGGTCAGATTCATTTGTAAGCCAGTTAAGCTAAATAAAACGTAAATAGACCATTAAAAAAAAAAAAAACCAAGAATGGGAGGAAAAGGAATCGAAATGAACAACCCTTTCGATATTGTTTGTATATATTATCATATCTTAATAGGGGAAAGTAGCAGGTCAATGGACAACAGTTTTATTTGATCATCAAACTTCCATTTACATATTTATTTTTGAAAATTTGAAAAAAGTTAACTTTTAATTGAAATATGAATGTGTAGCAGGGATTCCAACCACTGAAATTCTTTAGGTGAGTCGTATAATTTGTGTAACGAGTGCAGATTAAATGGCATGTGATTTCGTAGAAAATTAACATAATTTGAAAATAATGAGTTTATTAATATGTGCTCAAATTCTACAACACACATAATAAGTATTTAATGATAAAAAGTTTATAAATTCTTATAGCTTCGGAATAGCTAAGAAAGCGATGTTTTATTTTTACTATTGACTACGTCATGTGACTTACCAAATATTCATTGTATGCTCTGAACAATATTAAAATTAGTATTTTAATAATCAGATAAATATCTAATCTGTTTCATTTGTTGCTATTATGTTAAATTACGTAAGTAATGCCAAATTTGAACATAATATTAAATTTGGAACTAACAAAGTTTATATTAAAATCGGCAAACGTTACTTTTTAATTGAACAAGATTTCTGGTAGTTAAGTTGTACACAAACACAAAAATAAAAATAGTTTTAAAAATGCATACGCATCAGAATTCAAAAAATATATCCCTCAATATGCTAAAGATCTTAAAAAAAATACAAATATATTAATTTCTATTTGTTTTATGTAAACATCTATAAAATTATAAACCGTTCTATTAAATAAAAAAGGCGAAGGAGAATCCTTGATGTATACGTCACATTTTACCAAAATATGAATTCCTATAATATTATTTTTTAAATTTAAATTTTTCAAGAGCAAGCAAATGCATTTAAACTATTTAGATTCTAAATGGTTTTTAAATTAATTAGTTATGTTCTAAATTTTAGAACATAACTAATTAAATATGTGTTATAGTGAAAATTAATTCAGTGGAATGAACAGGAGAGTAAATTTGTTATCAATAGTTTTACCTTTAATCAAATTAATAATAAGGAATCTCTTATATTTCAGTGTAATATATTATTATAAGTACCTAGACACAATCTTCAATTTTCAGTAAAACAATGATAACAAGAGGTACTGAAACTGGAGGTTTTACCTTAAACGACGGTGAATGACTTTGTTATAATACGGGTAATAAAATAAATGTTTAATGATCTATAGCGCTATAATTTATATAAACAATTTAAATTTATTTTGAAATTAAAAAGTGATAAACAAGTGATAAGTAATATTAAATTAATATACTTAAAACACGCAAAATTTAAAACTTTAATAAATTACCTTCCTACGTAATAAATATTAATACAGATAAAAAAAAGAGTTGATACTGGGGATGGAAGCGGCCACTGTTGTAGGTGAGAAGTTAGGAATTTAGGATACATAAGGTTATTTCATTTATATATGCAAGCAACGATAAACCATTGCTTGACGAAAGACGATTCCGAGCGCAGTTTGATAATAATACATAATTTGAAGTACCGTAATTTTTTGTTTTGCGATTTTCGTTTAAATTTGATTTCAAAACGCTTATTAAAAAAAAAAAAGTCGTCTGGTCATTTTGGAAATTTTCCCACGACTAGATAACTCCAATATAGGTATTATTACCAAGTTTCAAGTCTCTATGTGTATTTATAACCGAATTACTGCAAAAAACTCCCAAAAATTAAAATTCCTTAAAAGCTCAAAAGTTTTGTTGATAATACCGTTAGAAAGTAAATCAAAAATTCAACAAAAAAGATATCTTGTGATTTTTCAATTAAATCATTTTTTCTCATAGAAAACGTCCGTGTTTTTATATTAAATAATGAAATCGTAACATTGTACGTTTTCCCACGTTTTTTTCCAACTTATGTGCTTTTTTTATTTGAAAAATGGCGTTGAAAATCTAAAAATAACCTGCCCATAGTACCATCTAGATAACTTGAGCTTTTAGAGAAATTGCTACATGGAAAAATTGGAGCAAGTTCATTAGGAAAAAATGTATCCACAGACAAGAAGAAAAAAAAAATAAATAAAAATTTTAGTAAAACCAATAGCTCCCTCGATACGCTCGGAATCGAAAATAAATGAATGATTAAATATTATAGTAACGATATATTAAAATAAATAATAAATACACAATGAACGAAACAAGACCATATTTTTTTTAAATATTGTTACCGAAATTAATTATAACATCATGAGATCGTGATACTACAAACAGCATATCGGTTTTACCAATGACTGTCTAAACTAGTATCTTTATTGTATATGTAGATTGATATGTATAATATGTATACATATTCCTACAGATTTTTGGATTAGTAAAATTACGAGATCGCATTTTATAAATGAGATATTCGTATTCTTCATGACAAATCGACTCAATCTTTGCTTTTTTATAGTAGAGTACTTAAGTCCGTTATTTAGGTACATTATTTTTACATAATTCCAATTATCATTATTTTCTTCTTCTTCTTCTTTCTTTCCTCAAAGGCCGTTTAGTTCTGATGAATTACAAACTTTCTTTCGTCTTTCTTTGGCCAGCGTCATCTTTATGTAATTTTTCACACTTCTATTGTTAGATTATTTGCAACTTTAGTAAGATTTCCGGTATAATATAAAAATCGAAAAAATTAAAATAATAAAATCAGGAATGCCACGGCACGCCGTAAATATTAGTCCATTATTCCTATAATTTTTTCTCAATTATTATGAAACAAAGAACATATTGTCTGGCGTCAGTAAACGATTGAACATTATGAATACGGATATTATTGAATAAAAAGTTTTTTTAATCGTGATTAAAAAATGTTTCAGAAATCCACGCGTGATTGTTAATTACTGTTTAAAGTCTGAATAAGTATCTATCTTATGTCTATGGATTTAGCCTATAATATCAAGAATAGATTATGTATAGGTGCGGTATACTCGTAGGTAAATGTTTAGTATGTTCAAGATGTAAATATGAATTATTATGTCCTTAAAAATTATATAACTATTTAATTTATTAACATACGAGTAGGTACATTGTTATGTTATATAGCTATTATAATATTTTAAAAGTTCTAAATAACGGACGTGTGTTATGAACGATAACAAATATTTAATAATATGCCCGATGTTTGGCTGGATAATCCGAAGCTTATGGAATCTATAAACCCTATTTAATACAACACAATATGCGCATAATAATTTCATTTCAAAGGTTTAATTCTATTCATATAACAATTTTTTTTCATTGAATGTGCTTTATTTATTTTCTCAAAATAATTGACAGTACAGTATTTAGGTTTTGGATTTTTTAATCCTTTAGGGCTTGTAAATTTCGTTGATGTATAATTGTAAATTTTTCAGAATATAATTTTGAATTATAATATTATACCAATATTATCAAATATTCTGATATTTTATACGTATTTTAAAAATTTAAAAATCATTATTTACTAGGTACGAACTATGAATACTTTTCTTTGAAAAAAAAAATATATATATATATATTATACATTAAATGAGAGTATAATATTATAAGGGTGGACATTTTTTTTTGCATCCAGCCATACGTAGTATCAGGTTTCTATATGTATCAACAAAAATCATTCAAAGTAATTTAGTATTAAAAATTTCCGCCATATTTCATTACATTTTTATAATGAAAGTAAGTTGGCTATCTCCCAAAAGTATTTTACCTACATAGTAATTTGATTATGCATCTGTCTTGTTAAAAATATCGGGTGAAAAAGTATATTTATCTTTGTATTGTATAGATTGAATGTAACGAAGTATATAATTTATTTCAACTATATACATAAATTTTTCAATTATACGAATGTATTTAAATAAATGATATTGCAAATAGTTGTGAATTTTTAATATACGTATTCTTTTTATGGATAGTCGACAGCAAAAGGGGATCTGTTTCCATAATGATGATCCCACTGCTGTTATTGTTTATTAAGAAATAATAATTAATATAAGAAAAACTCGTTTACACCTTTGCGAGGCAGGCTAACAAACACATTAAAATATTAAAAAAATATATATTAGAGTGCAAATTAAGACACTTTATTATATACAATCATGTGAATTTCGCGGCTGTCGTTGTAAAGAGAAGACCAAATTGAAGCTCTCTGCTAGTTCCTACCTGTTCCTCTTTCATTTTTTCTTATTGACGGCCAGACTTTCTGGGGGAAGGAGGGGGTCTACCCCCATCGGAGTGCTGGGTGAGCTCTGGCCGAGGACTTTGACCGCAGTGGACTGCCACTAGTCGAGGAAGCGAGTGAGTTCATTCTTGATGAACTTGAGGATGTCCGCTACCATCAGGAAGCCATTCATATATTATTTATAACAATAAATCAAATACATTATTTTAAAAAACAAACAGACATACTTCTCACAATAGGTGGACCACTGTTAGAGGTAAGAAATTAAGAAGGTAGAGGGGAAATCTATTTGTATATTTGTATGTAACAATTAATCATTGCTAATAAGAAACAAGTCTGAGCGGAGTTCGGTTTCACATGTTTTGAAAAGTCGTAATATTTTAAAATAATAAATTTCGTAAATTTTCCCGTTTTTCATAAGTTTTTTCCTGATTTTTGCATTTATTATGAAAACCCCTGGGAAAATCAAAAAATAACTTCCTTAAATACCACTCTAGTCAGATTTCCTTTTAAAATCTGAGCAAAATGTTTGGTAGAATAGTTATTCACATATGAAAAAAAAAATAGCATCATTCTAAAACCAATATTCCATATTCCTCACTCCGCTCAGGACCCCTAAAGTTTCAGGATAGCAAAATTATGTGCAATTAGAATTAACAAAACAAAATATTCAATTTTCTTTACACTGCAGTAATTTTATTAATTCTTCGTTTTTTTTTTCTTTAATATTCCTAAAGTTCTATTTACTTTTCATCGAAATAAAAAAAAGCGTAAACGAATTTTATATGTTCTTTGTGTCAAGGAAATTTCACTGTAAATAAAAATGTGTTTATCGAAGTCTCATTTCTATCATATTATACTCATAGACGCAACGAGGAGAGAGTGCTAAGAAGTTTTAGCACCCCCCAATCAGCTTTCTTATAGCAGTGAATAAATATTTTATTTATATATTTCATAATTAATATTGAGCATCAAAACAAAATACAGATATCCTATGCAGGCAATGCGTGTGTGTATGAAAAATAATGTTAAAATTGTTACCATAAATTTGTATATGCCTATAAAATTGTAAATAAAATGTATAGTTATATAATGCATAGCCTATTGTAAGAGTCATGTAAAAGAGGATGCAGGGGCCACACCTCCCATGGGTCTTTGATGTGTTTATAATTTTAACACCCCCAAAGATGGTGGTGTAGTTCCGCCTATACTGCGTACATATGTTAATGACAGAACCTAAATCTGTTCAACTCGAAAAAATTAATCGTGAATTTCCATATTTTTTCTACACAAGCCATGATAATCAGATGAGTTGTTCAGTAATTTGTTTTATTTGAAACTACCGATGCTGTTGAAATAATATTCGTTATAATAAAACAATCGATACAGATTTGTATTTTAATCTTTAGTAGATACATGTTACATAATTTCGGTATGGGTATCATTAATATATGTATATGTATACCTACTGATTTTCATTTTCCCTCACAAATAATTCATTTTTATTACAAAATTTTCGGGTATTCGTCAACATACTTCCGGTTTATATGCATATTACATTCTAACCTCGTATTTGTTATTTTCCATTTTCTTTGTCAACCTTTTTTATTCGTCACGCCACTATACGCTTATATCACGTAACACACTACGAGTATACCTAATGAGCTAACAGTCAAGCCATGTAAACCCATTTATATTCACAAATAATATTGGACGCGATGTTTCAATATTCAATGTGACGATATGTAAATACTGAATAGTGGGCATTCTACGCTAAGCGAAATTCATAATCTGTCAAATAATATGTACAAAATTGAAATGCTGAAATATCTTAAATAATAATCAAAGTGTTTATATAAATATTTCTCAAAATTTAATATTTAAGAAGTTAATAAAAACGAAAACTATATACATTTTTAAAAACAAATCTAACGTTTTTCTTTTGTGCCCTACTTATAACTTGTATATTTTTCATTTTGAACATGCATCACTAACGCATATATTAAACTCAATAAGAATTTGGATTAAATTTATATTTTCAACCACGATAGTTTATTGTTTAAAATATAAACAAACAAAAGCAGTAGTGGTGCATTCACTAGCAACGCAATCCCAACAAATGCCGTCTTATAGTAAGCTTAACATAATAATCATAATATCATAATAATATAATAATCGTTAAAATTAGATTTACCTAGGTAATTAAGAACAGTGGCGTAAGTTGGCCTAAATTTCTGGTGGTGCAGAAAAATCTTTCAATTTTTAACCCACCAATACTCCTTTGTAAATTACCACTTAATAAACAATTTATTTTTCTGTAGGTGCAAAATTTTTTTTATGAAATAAATATATTATAAGTACTGAATTATTTTAATAGTAAAAATTGTATTAGTATAACATTTTAAAAAAAAACTATAGATACTTGTCTAATACAAAAATATAGATTTTTGAAAACATTTTTATGATTTCCTGGTGGTGCAAATATGTAAACTTGCATCACCATATTTCAAATGTGATAGTGCAACTGCTACATTTGCACTAACCGAAAAAGTGATTTCCGAGAAAAATAAAACCTACATTCTAAAGTTAAGTATGAATCCATCTAATGACCATCTTTATTCGTAATACTACCCATATATACTGCATATTATTCTACCAATACAAATTTCCATTTTTAATCATTTTATAAATCTGCTTATCGTTGTCAGCTACTATTTTAAGAAACTAGCTACTTTAAATTTTTGTTTTCTACTTACGCGTGTGAAAGTTTATTTTCCGCAATGAATTTAAAAAAAACGATGAAAAAAAATGCTCTAATCGATGAAACCAGTGCAGTTTGTATTTTACTAGAAATTATATACTATACTTCGAATATCAAAACTTAATCTTCAAAAAAATAATAAAGTAAAATAATATTTAATACCTACCTAATAATAATTTACGAATCTTTTTTATAAAATAAAAAGTTAATAAATAGGCTCATAAAATATGTATAATTACTGCTTACTTCTTTTAATTCTTAGTAAAAGACTTTATTATTATTATGATTTTTTTTTTTGTACGCGAGCATAATTTTAAAAAATTTTTTAAAAATGTTGGCACTTGACTCAAAAAAGGTTCACTGCCCGTGACCAATACGCAAGATTCAAATATAAAATCTACAAAATATTAAAAACTCGTGTCTTATTCGACATCATTATCAGATATCAACTTATTATTGCTTTATTATTATTATAATAATATTTGTGTATACGTGCTGATTTCCATTGCCGTTTGATACGATTGTAAACGATGTTAAACCAACATATTATGTTATTCTAAATTGAAATAAGAACCCGTCTAGTGCTAAATAATTTAACTAATTTTAATTACATTCTTGAATAGAAATTATTTTAAAAAGTAGGAAAAAATCAGTGTAGTTATCTCACTTTTGATATTCTTTTTGAGCTGTTGGAGTCTAGAACTGTTTATTCAATTTTATTGTATAATATTGTTTTATTCGTACCAAGGTCTACCGTTTAAGTCCAAAGAAATCAATCGATTTTCTATTATATATTATATCTATAATATAATATAGTGTATATTATAAAATATCAACATACCACGCACATATTCGAATACAGTTTTGCAAGATAAAGTCTGTAATATATTTTTTTTTCTACTTCAATTTCATTATAAAATATAGAAAAAAATAGAGAAAAATACGAGAATATACATGTATATATACACACACATGTTTACGTTCGTTACATCCCTCATTATTTTTAATTGTTTTCTTTACTAATTGTAAAAGTAGGTATATAAGTTTCTCAGGTATACGTTTTCAGCTGAACGATTCGACCATTCGGGTATCAGTTGTCAATATAAATATATATATTTTTCAATTAATTTTATATGAAACAAAGAATTAATAAATAATAATCAAAATGTATTATTATTATATTGCGCATTTTTTGTTATTGTACTCGAGTAAAATATATTTTGTTTCACTGGAAAAAGCAAAAAATAATAATTAGAAGAATTAAGAAAGAAGGTTGATTAAAATGAAATTGTTTAAGATCAGTGGTTCTGTAGAATTGATTTCCTCATAGCCCATAATATTGAATAGGTTCCTAAGTCACAACTCATGAAATAAATACGACGCAATTTTAGATTTTGAGCGGAGCGAGAAATGTATTGGTTTTACAATAATGTATATTTGTATTTTTATCTGTGAACAAATTTTATACCAACGATTTCGCTCCAATTTTTAATTATAACACTTTTTCTGAAAAGAAATCTGACTAGAGTGGTACTTTAATTTGTTAAATTCTCAGCTGTTTTCGTAATAAATGGGAAAATCCAAAAAAAATATGGGGAAAACTGAGGAAAAACGTAGAAAAAACGGAAAACAGATACAATATTAAACAAATATTATTAAAAAAACTATACCAGTCTAATTAAACTAACTTTAGTCTAATCAGACTAAAGTTAAGGGGGTCAAAATAACAATTTTTCCATTAGCAAAATAAGAACCACCCTAAATATATATATATATTCGTAATAGTTTTCGTTTTTTTGATATTTTATCAAACAATTATAAATCATTATTTATAAGGGGCACGCCCAAGGGCTACGGGGACTACGGTGATTTAGCCTCTCCAACTTCCTAAAAATTTAGCGTTAACACAATTATTATTAATACAAATCATAATGGTTAGTTTCTTTTTTGTTTAACTATTTTTCATTTGGATAAACATTTCTTAGTAAAATTATCATGTCAAAATAAAATTGTTCAAACAAATTATACAAATATTAATTACAATAAATTATTGTTATGTTAGTATTATTATCAAAGTACCATTGCAACTAAAATAATTTAATTATTAGTCGTTTGACTTGACTGTGAAACGGTAGTTCAAATATTTTACTTGTATAATCATCTAGTGTTTACGATTCTGTCTGTTTAAGAAAATCCCATAAATAGCAAAAGGATTCATCCGTACAACTGCTGTAGATGTAATTTATTTTTGCAAATAGGTGTATGCACCAATAACGTTACTGTCAGATTTGATTTACTAACAGGGCTCGTACGCCAAATACATGTTCCTATGTTAGGTGGGGGAGCCTATTCATTATTATAACATCATGTTAGTACAAATAATGATTTAGATTTTTAATTAAATGTTAGCCCAGTGATACACGTTATTTTATTTAGAGTAGATTGTTGCCACTTATGTTGACATGACGGATATGGGGGAACACAAAAAGAGAGTATTTGAAAAGAAGAGCTTTTTTTATTCTTGAGGATAAAATTTTGTATGAAAGGCAGATAAACAATTTCAAGCAGTTTTTGTGGAAAAATATTAAAAAATGGTGAGTATAGTGCGCAAAGTAATACTTTATATAGCAACGATTGGTGTGTAGTTTTATTTTGATGAAAGTTGCTCTTATGCTGAAAAAAATGTATACACAATAATATTAGAGCTGTATTATTATCAGAAATTATTATAGTGTACGTTGCAATATAGTTATTCATAGAATACCTTATATAATATGAATTACTCTATCATAAATAATAGTATTTCGGGATTTTTCACAAGCCTATTAGGAGTAAGACTACAATTTATTTTAAAACTACTGTGGTTAAGTGGTAGAAGAGGGTTGCAGCTCTTTTCTAAGCTATACGATCTCATATTCGACGTAAACATTAAAATATACGGTATAATCTAGAGCCATCACTTTTTTGGCCGAAATTATTACACTGTGTTTTTAGATTTTAATTAAATTATGAATTCGGAATTATGCTCACGTTTTTAATTTCTAGTAAACTGCATATTATACCAAACATATAAATATATGATATATAGGATAAATATTTTTAATCCAGTGGTTCACTAAAAGTTAAACTAGGAATTTCAATAAATTGAAAGAATATAGAATAAAGAATTATATAGCATTGGTTCTCAATATTTTTTTATTATTACGGAAAAAAACGTGAGAAAACTGGGAAAAACGAGAAAATCGGTGCAATATTAAACAAATATTATTTAGGAATATATTTGATACTTATTTAATTATTTTACCGTAATATGACATATATATTATTGACTAAGCATCACTATCAACTGTACTCCATTCAGAATCGTCTTTTCGTTAGCAATGGTTTATCCTTGCTTACAGATATACATTTAATTACGTATGACACTGCATCCGTCTCCATTATCCTAGGACGTCTTTTTCTTCCCGCTTTTTCCCATTTATAATAAAAATTTCTAGGAAAACCAAAAAAATAATTATCTTAAATTACGACTTCAAGATAATTCCCTTTTAGAAAAGGTGCTATACTTGATACTTCGGAACAAGATTTCTGGTAGAATTTTTGTACACAGAATAAAAATAAAAAAAGCTGTCCTAGGAGAGGATTTTATCAAAACATAAAAAATTAATTGAATTATAAATATTTGTAGTCGTTATTCCTGTGAGTGATATAAAAACATACATACACACAAAAAACAGAATTTGATTATCATTATTGTCTCAGGAGATACAGCAATGAGTATATCTTCGTGAGACACCCTGTATGTACTAATTATTTATTTATAATAATTTATGAATTTTTTTAATAACCTACCTAAAAATGTATATACAAATATACAGAAATAAATTGAAATTAACTATAATATATTCTTGTAACATAAAACCTTGTGTTTTTGGAAATAATAGGTTTTCTTATTTATTTTAGAACTTTTAGTAAAAACTATGACAGTTCAGCAATTAGAAAATTAAAATGCACAATTAATGTATATGGTAATATTTAAACATACAATAAGAGATTAGGATCATAAATGAAGTTTGTATTGTTCATACTTAATGAGGCCAACTAAAACAAACAAAATGAAATTAAAATATGATTAGGTATAATATTGGTGCAATAGGAAAAATAATAATTAAGAAGAGATAAATAAAAATAGAAGCTACGGAATATGGAGTATAGCTTTTTTTTCAGTACCTTGAAAATAATATTTAAACATAAGGAATGATGTAAAATTATTAAAAGTTAAACTATACCTAATGAAGTAATGAGTTTATTATAATCAATCATAATATTATATTATAATATATATTATATATATATTATATTATATTTTAATATTATATATATATCTGAATTGCTATAAGTCGTCGATGAAAACATTAAAACCTGATGAAAATGCGCTAGAACTGTAGACTATTCAAATATATATATATATATATATATATATATATTATATATTATATACTAATGAAGAAGTAATATAAGCTGACTTGTGCTCCAAATTCGATTTGTTGAACTATACCAACAAAATGATTGTGTTACATTATTTTGATTCAATAACCTTTGCTGGTTAATATCAATTATTATCGTAACATTAACATATTCTTAACTTTATATTTTCAGAATATCTTGTTCTACTACGACTTCGAGAACAGTAGCAAACCATCAGGAGTCATATTATTGGAAGGAAGTTACTGCTCAAAGTTAGATTTTTCTAGCGGCGCGTCAAAAGTCACTGGGAAAATCCATCCAGAAAATGAGGTTAAATTTATAACATAATAATGAATAAATATATTGCTTAAACATAATTATAAGTAAACATGCATATTAGTCATAACTTATTACAAATTGTGTAATTGGTAATTTCAACAGTACTGTTTCGTAATTTCGTACAACCACAATCAAATGCGACAATACGAGTTCCGTGCATCGTCGGAAACTTCTTGTAAAACATGGGTGAACGCACTAAAACAGGCCAGGTAAAGGGATTAATTTCAGCTCCATAAACCATATAATATCCAATTTAAATCACTCTTGTTAAAAGTACCTATCCATATAAATTATTTAGTTTCAATAAATTACTATTACAAAAAGAAGAGCTCGAACAACGGCATTTGCATTTGCTGCAAGTCGTCGAAAGTGAAATGACCGCGAAATGGCAATATACTCAACAGTGCGAAGAATTAGCTACCGAAATAAAAAAACTCCGTGCAGAAGTAATAAATTATAAATGATTTATATCCTGTAATGTATATAGTATCAAGTTCATTAAAATAATTTTGCTTACGAATCCTATGATAATATTATACTCTCAAATTGTGTATCTCACGTGTAATTTTTTTTTTCTTAAAGATTTATTTTATTATGCTAGTAACTATTTATGTAGAATCTAACCTAAACCTAATCGAATAACACGTTCTGTTCAAATATTTGAGACTAGAATTATTGAAATCTAATAAGATTAACTATATCCAACATTTTTTTATAAAAATATTTTGAAAAGTCAGATTTAAAAACAAATTCATATTTTCGTGTTTGAAAAAAAAAACAAACAAAGTTTGTATTAAAAATACCAGTGGACACCGTACTTTTTGGGTGCCATTTATAATAGGTGTTAACATTAAAGAAGGATCTGCGGCCGTTGGCAACATTCGGCGGCTCTACTACTGGATCATTCGATGGTATAACTGGTACGTCGTATTCGCGAAGACAATCTAGGGAAAGTGTTTCGTTCTCGGATCCAACCACCTTCAATCTTCACGATTCTCTCGAAATGCGCAAAATCAAAAAAGTGCAGAGCTTTTTTAGAGGATGGTTATGCAGGAGACGATGGAAACAAATCGTTGAACAGTACATTAAAAGCCCTCACGCTGAAAGCATGCGTAAACGAAATAGGCGAGTATAGCATATTATTATAATACAATAAGTTTACAATATAATATTTTCATATTGAAATTTCTGGAATAAATGAAATTTAGCATAGTCGAAATACTTAATAAATAATTTGTGTAGCAAAATACACATATACCATAATGCATGACTTCCTCGATAATCGTTTTATAACTTCAAATACATTATTTAAAGATATTAAAGATAAAGTTTTGTGAGCACTCTGATAACAACATTATAATATCTATTTACATTTATGTCTTTTATGTGACGAATAAGTTGTTTTCATGGTTAATTATTTAGAAAATTAAAACGCAATTAAATTAAATACTGAACATTTTCAATTAATATATAAGTATTAAGAAAGAATCACATCGTTTTTGTTAGAAAAAATAAAGTACCTATAGTGAAGAAACTATAATAGTTTTATGATGATGTTTTGTTCTCAAAAAACATTTTAGGTCTCTAAAAATGTTCCAATTTTTTCACGCAGTACCTCAAAATATGTGTAATTTCTCCGGATAAATTTACTGTGTATCATTAATCAAATTTATTCTTAAAAAATTTCAAATTCTAGTAATAATCGTTTCCATTACAACATTAACTATTTTATAAAACATAACCAAACCATAATGTTATCGTACCTAATTTGATTCCCATATTGTTGTAAATGGCGTAATTATTATTTCTGTATTTATAACACGGCGCTAACTATAACAGTTTCTTTTTTTTAAACCGACAGTCTTGTTTTTCGAATGGTCGAAGCTGAGGAGGAATACGTAAGCCAACTGGAAGTATTAGTCACATGTTTTTTACGACCTTTGCGAATGGCAGCCAGCTCAAAAAAACCACCGTGTACCCACGAAGATATAAGTTCGATATTTTTAAACAGCGAGACCGTGTTGTTCTTGCATCAAATATTTTTCAAGGGATTAACAACAAGAATGGAAAATTGGCCCACTTTAATCTTAAGTAAGTTAACAATAAATTATAATTTATCAAACACAGTAAGTGGATAAGTCACAATTATAACCATACGTATTTCAAATTCAAAAAACAAACATTTTTACGTTTGTAAATTATTTATTTTTTTTTTTTTATGTTAAAATTTACCCAAAAAATGTATTAAATTTAATTAATAATCTTCCAATATCCCCAATCATAATTACACCTTAATTCTTAATTTACGCCTATTTAACCTTGCTGATCACAGACATTTTATTTACCTACTATTATTCTTTAAACTCATTTCTGGAAAAATATACTCTCCTTCTCTTTTGTCTCAACTTCCTTTTAAATTTTCTCTCCGCCATACCTGCTCATCTTTCCCTTTTCTTAATTTCACTTCCTTATTCGTCTAATTATTTTTTTAAACTCTCTCTATATCTCACCTTATTTACGCTGCCAAGTCAGACCCTTCATTTAACGTGTAGTTCTTTTTTTTGTTTGCTTTCTTTTTTCATACTTTAATTTTTGGGCGTATCACACATCTATTAAAAAATAAATACGTAATTAAAATGTTAATATAATAATAAATTATTCGTTTTCATCCTTGGAACCTATATTTTATCATTTTAATTTAGACTATAATGGTGAACACTTAATCTGACTCAATGCGTTTTATCTAAAATCTGAAATACGAAAGAGATTCTAATTGAACGAGTGGTAAAAAATCATATAATCCGTATTACAGTGGATAATCCGGGTTTCGAATTGATCACACATCTGTTTAGGCCGCCGATAATGTGTATTTATTGTATTCGAGTAGCATAACTTTTAATATTAAAAAACCACCTATTGTAAAAAAATAACAATAATAAACCTTTGTATTCATAATATTCACTTATCTCTTCAGAATCCGAACGTAAATCTCTAAAAATATATATAAACTATATTTAAAAAAATAAAGTAATCATTTTACAGCAGTTTTCTCGGATAGCCTCTTCAATTACTTAAAAAATGACTCGAGTAACGTCAGTTTTTTTTATAAAAATAAACAATAGCAACTCATAATGTTTTTGAGCTTTTTTTTTGTCTTGTATTAATATTAATTTTTCATCATATTGAGAGAATATTGTATAGGACCTTCGACATCAAGTGGCAGCCAACATAAAAAAAAAAGCCCTTGGTATTCGCTTCGATCTCCTGTATAATAACTATATAGAAACTTTTCTATACACAACTTTACTGTGGTAAAATTAATTTCGTAATTTTGTCCTTTCTCGAACTTTTATTTTATTTCTGTATATTTCTCCGTCAAAAAATAATTTTTGGTGCAATAATTATGTATCTGTTTGAAATTGATCTATATATATATGGAAATTGCGCAAATTTTGATTTTCTCAATGTTTTTGGTAATGCCAAGCCTTTATCGGTACTAACTTGACGTATATATTACCTAGTCATAAAATCTTAATGGGTCGAATTTTGTATAATATAATTTAACAACGAGATTTAAATATGTGTGCAGGTGACCTCTTCGATATACTACTTCCAATGCTGACAATCTATCAAGAATATGTTAGAAATCATCATTACAGTTTACAAGTATTAACTGAATGCAAACAAAATCCTGCGTTCGTAAACCTTTTGGAGCGATTGGAAAACAAGCCTGCGTGTCACGCGCGTTCATTGGAGAACTTTCTTATAGTTCCAATGCATCAGGTAAAACTCTAATTATTGTAATATAATCTATCCATCTATCTATCTATAATACATACTATATAATTTATAATAATATTATATGATATATTTATATATTTATACATTATACATGTGCGTGCGAAGGAGATAAGAGAAACAAACTGTCTCACATCTGAGATTTTACGCCTGAGTTTTTAAAAAATGTTTTGGATATGAATTTTTTAATTCGGAACAGATTAATCAGAAAAGGATTGGTTACACTATAATATGTATTTTGTCTGTATGCAAACAACATTTCGAACAAAAATCTTGCTCCGATATACCAAATGTATCACCTTTTTGAAAAAAAAATATATCTAGTTGGTGCATTAAAGAAGTCCTTTTCCTGGTTGGTTTTTTTTAACAATTAGGGGAAACCGAAAAAAAATATAAAATGAAAACTGACAAATTTACAACGTTATGATTTCATTAATTTTATTTTGTACGCTTTATATTTTATACCAAAAATATTTCTTTAATAGAAAAATGACAAAAATGACATCTTTTTTGTTGAATTTTTAAACTAGTTAGTGAGAAAGAAAGTCGTTATTAACGATGATTTTTTTAACCCTGTAGTTTTTTTTATAATTAAGTGAAACTGAAAAAAAAACTTAGAAAGAATTGAAAAATTTACGACAGTAAAGCTTTTATTATTTATTTGCCTTTTCTAGACGTAATAAAATTGTATACAAATTTGAGCGATTTATAGGCGTTTGAATTTTTTAATTTATAGGCAAGTTTTTCACGTAGTTTTTATTAATACCTAAATAATTGTAGATAGCATTTTTTGACGAAACAAAAATGTTTGAAATTTAACACAGGGCTCAATATAAGGTAAACTTAGTGGTAAAAAAAAAGGAAGAGTGTTATGTAGTAATTTGTTTATATAATGGTTTTAAGATCAAATTTTAATTAAAATCGTAGATATATAATTTTTCAAACCATCAAATCATACAAAATGAATTTCCTCAGAATGGTTTTCCGTTAGAAATGGTTTATCATTGTTTATAAATATAAGTTAAATAACTGTGTGTATCGTACTTTGCCAAATACTCACAACATTGCCTATCATTTGTATCAACTCTTTTTTAAAACGTTAAACTCTTAGGCTCTTTGATTTTGTGCATTGGCGGAAATATAAGAGATGAGTTTAGGAGTTTAGCCTCCCAAAAACTCAGCAAGCTCCCCCAAATTATGTTCTCATCAATAAAATACTAAGTACATAGGAGGAGCTACGGGGTATGCCGGTTATGCTAAGCACACCCAAAACATCTATACTGTCCTGAAATGGCTGAGCCACGCGTACCACGCGTAAGGGAAAAACCTTTAAATGATATAATTAAAGTTTGAATAAAAAAAAAGACGCCCTAGGATAATGGAGACGGAAACAGCCACTGTTATAGGTAATTTAATGTACATCTGTAAGCAACGATAAACAATTGTTTACGAAAAAACGATTCTGAGCGGAGTTCAGTTGATATTGATGCTTTGTCAAAAATATATATGACATATTATAGTAACATAATTAAGTAGACTCTATACATTTTCTTAAATAATATTTATTTAATGTTGTACCAATTTCCCCAGTTTTCCTACGTTTTTCCCGGTTTTCCTATGTTTTTTTCCAGTTTTTCACATTTTCTGTGAAAAAACCGAAGAAAATCGAAAAACGACCTCTCTTAAGTGCCTCCCAAGTGAAATTTCCTTCTAAAAAAATTACTATCATTAAACATTAGAGCAAAATTGCTGGTAGAAAAGTTGTCTACAGAAAAAATAAATAAACATCTTTGTAAAACTTCTTCGCTCCACTGAGAATCTAAAATAATTTGTTAAATTAGAACTGTTTAATAATACAAGCTATCCCACGAAGATATACCCCTTGAATATCTCCGAAGATAATAAAATTATGTTTTGTTTTATATTACTCACAGGGATCACTATTTATATTTAAACCAATTTTGTTTGTTTTTAGTAAAAAATTTAAAAATAACTTGTTATTTATTAAATAATATTAAAATTTTCAGAAAAATAAACTCTACAGAATTGCAGTCTTAACATTTTCCAAAAACAATAAAATCAAAAGTTATTTTTTAAATTTTTTACTAAACACAAAAAAATTTAATTAAAATATAAATATTTGTATTCCTCATCCCTGTGAGTAATATAAAACAAAACATAATTTGATTATCTTTATTATCTCCGGAGATATTCAAGGGGATATTCATGGGACAGCCTGTATATTTTATTTGCAAGTCGATTTATCTGTTATATCTGAAATACTCAAGAAGATATTTTTTAAGGAGCTCAATACGATTTCGTTTTTTGGTTAACGAGAAAATCTTTCTTCTAATGGTAAGCAATAATCGCTGTATTTTCACACATTGTAGATTCATCTAAAGTTCATTGTTCTTTCCTGTCATCGAGACATGAATAAATATATAGATAAAGTGATTTATGTTTTCTTTTGAAAACATAAAAAAATATTTTATAATTTAAAATGATATAATAATGTATTTTCAATATAAAAAAACCAACTAGTGTTAAATATTTACTTTAAGTAGTGAACACATATTATTATTAATAAAATCCATTCTTTACCAATTAAACTACATTGGACCACATTATTTTATTTAGGATTACCTATATTTGATATACCATAATATGGCATGTATATAAATGTATACACAATCCGAATATACTAAATAATAACAAAAACAAATATATACATATTATTATAATATTATGGATAACTAAGTCTTCCTATTTCAAGTCCTAATCTTAAAATTTGGAGTAAGATTTCTGGTAAAAGACAAAAACCAACAAATTTAAAATAATGTAATCAGTAGCGTTGTAAATATTTGTCCGTTTTTCATAAATGTTTTTATCCGGATTTTTAAATTTAAAACTATTATAAAAATTGCTTGGAAAAATAAAAAAATAACCTTTTCTATGCATCAAATAAAACTAAAATGCAACAAAAGAGACTTCTTGGCCTATTTTAATTGAAGCAATAATTTCTGGTAAAAAAATTGTTTAGATAAACAATTAATAACAATAACAATAAAAAAACAAACCTCATAGTTAATCTAATATATTCTTCGTTACGTTCAAAATCTAAAAGCTTTTCATAATTTTCTAGAAAATTGTCAAATGTCAACAAACTCAAAATACTATTTGTAACTAATTTTTTATCGTTTTAAACATACGTAAAAAACTTGTGGAGTAGTTTTTACAATATCCAAAAATATTTAAAACAGACACGTATTTTTAAAACAAATAGCTCCATTACATTTAAAATCTATTAGAATATGTATTTTATTACGTTATTTAAAAGATATTCGTTTGATAAAATAATGCCTATGTTAACAATAAAGAGTGACACAAAAGCATTTTTTCGTTGAAATGAGGCGGAAAAAAACAACACTGTAATAAATAAACATACGTCAATAAAAGATCGTCCTATTACTTTTTTTGCATACAAATCGAACCAACTAGTATACAAAAACAGATTTATTGATAAATGCAAATTGAAAATATGACAAATATTTTAATAAAATGCATTTTAAATCTGAAAAGATTTATTTAGAGATGAAAAAAAAAAGGATGTATAAATAATTATTACATGTTATTATTATATGATAAAAATACATTTTAGTGTACCAATAATTATTATTTAACTGTATATTCAATAGATAGATATTAATTTTTTTTTCACAGATACCGAGGTACATAATAACTCTCCATGAGATATTAGCGCATACACCGCATGATCATGTAGAAAGAAAAAGTTTACAAACAGCATGCCAGAAGCTAGAAGACCTAAGTAGACAAATCCACGACGAAGTCAGCGAAACTGAGAATTTACGAAAAAATCTTTCTATCGAACGAATGATAATCGAAGGTTGTGATATTCTACTAGACGTCAATCAAATATTTGTTAGACAGGGTACTTTGGTTCAAATGCCCATAGCAAGGAAGAAGAGCAGGATACCTCATTTCAAAACTGAAAGAGAAACGGTTAGGCAATGTTTTCTATTCACGAATCATATGATAATTACTAGCAGGTAAAAATTAGTAATTGTTTTATAATATTTTCAATTAATGTCTATTAAAATACTAATATGTACAAATGTATGTATTTTACTAATATACTAATTTATAATTATGTATGCACAGGACTACTAGCGGAAAATTACATTTAGCTCCTGAAGTCGGTAAAATATCTTTAGCGGATTGTCGTCTAATAGAGGATCCCAACGAGAAAGACGACGATAATAACACAACCGATATGGAAGTTCAAGACGGAAATAATGAAGGTACCTTTATAGAATTTTTATTTTACAGAAATGTTTAACTCCTTAGTATTTATTTTGACAGCCGATGATTCAGCAGGAACCAGTCATTCCAGTGATGTGGAAACGAGTGATTGTGAAGGAATAAAATATGCATCTAGTCCAAGTCCAACTCCTAGTCCAAAACCACAAAATTATGATTTTCAACTATGTGTTGACTGTAAATCATCAACGCCTCTTACAGTTCATTTATTCGCTCCTTCTCTGCAAGAAAAAACTGCTTGGGTCAGTGATATTAGTCAAGTGAGTTAACCCAAATGTTTAAATTTAATATTTAATTAATTATTATATTACTTTACTATTTAATGTTCTTTCTATAATATTAGTGTATTGAAAACTTGAGATTTGACGCAATGCTTCGAAATTCTATGTCAGATACATCTTCTGTGACAATGCCACATTCAATGCGCAATGATCCAAAACTTTTTAAAGATGATAAAGACATAAAATTTAGCAAATATTACAATTCTTGTCGGGTACATTTAATAATAGTTGATTTGACAAAAATATATTGTTTTCGTGTTAATGAATGCCTATATTTTTAGATTCCCCGTATTCATCATGCTACAAAAGAAAAATTGATATCCAGGCTGGTGGATTTACGGTTTTTGTCAATCGATTTTCTCAATACATTCCTTCTTACATATAGGGTTTTTACTGATGGTGTTACAATATTGGAAGCATTGAAAAAAGTGTTTTATAATAATGAAGTAGACGCATTTGAAACTATTGGCCAAGCAACCAATAATACGTAAGTTAATGAAGAAATACATTTTTCTTTTGTGGAAATAATGAAGCAGTTTATTTTAATGTTTTTTTTAGGTCTTTGGATCGAAATGAATTACATGACAATCATCATCTCACCACTGGCGATAGAGACCGAAGAAGATCTAGTGTTATTTCGTCACCCCGAAGAACTAGTGCCGCCAGTTCTGTATCTGGTATTCATTCTAAAAAACGCTCACTGGAGCGTTCTATAGTACTTATGTGTCTAACATATGTTTTATATTAATTTACAGGTTATGGATCGGAAAATAGTGAAAGAGATAGAAGTTCCAGTATAGATTATCAGCCCTATCAAAAAGGAGGAAGAAAATTTAGTTTCCGAATACGTGAGTGTTGAGTACCTGCTTAGATGTATAAAGTTAATTGTATTTTTCAAATAATGGTTTTTAGTTGAAGAAGAGGAAAGAAGAAATAAGATCAAAGTGTCTGACGAGTACTGTTCAACGGGCAGTTTATCTCAACAGTCTTCGCCAAGGCGAAAAGTCAGCATTAGAATCGAAGATATGGGTGACAGTTGTCATTTGGCACCGCCTACTATGGTTAAAGCAACTTCATCTTCTAGTAATGAAACTTTAACTGGAGGTTAGAGTTAATAAACAAAGTATGTTTTAGGTTTTTAATTAAAATATTTACTTTGTCTTACAGATAACCAACCGACAGTAGTTTCAACATCTCCGTGTAGCAATAACAGTAGTTCAACTCTAATAGCGACAAGTTCCAATTGCGATAAAAGTTCTAATGACCGTAAGAACCCTAGTTCACCAAAAATATCTCCACCAGAACGCAAAACACAATCTCCTTCAAAATTGCATGGTTTTCCTATTCACCATGGACATGCGATCAAAATTGGATCCATAATATCTGATGCAGCTAAAGAATTCGTAGAGAAGTAATATTGATCTTGCTTAAAATAAACTTCATCATAAATTCTTATTGATTTTTTAGATTTCATTCAGAAAAACATTTTTCCACACCACAACCTTCGCGTAGGAAAAGTTGGTTCAATCACGATAGTACTCCGGTAACGAGGAAAAAGAGTTTTGGACTTTGCGATGATGATATGGGCAATAGTGATGAAAATGGGTGGCTTAATAATATTCATAGTGCGTCTTCATCGAGATCGGCTTCGTTAGCTAATTCGAGTATTGCCCAGGTATTTCGTATTGTCTATATACATTGTATAAACTAAAATATAACATACTATAGTTTGGGTTTCTCTACAGTATTTCTCTAGAAGAAAATCGTTTGCTTGCGCTGGTGATGCTGATGGTTGTTACAGTGGAAGTATTTCACAAAGAACCAGTATGCAACACGATAGCCCTCCACTGTCTAGTCGAGCCGGTGTCGTGATAACGTCCTCAAGACAATCGAAAAGAAGGTAAACCAATATAGTTGATGCTCAAAACATATTACTTTTATTATGTTATTTATTACCTGAAAAAGCGTGGGACCAACTAATCACTTATGTATAGGAACTTTAAGCAATTTCTAGTAAAAAAAATAAATAGGTCCTGCGCTCAAAAAAATATACCTATACAAGCCCACAGCTGTAAGATGGTTCTCATATGTTTTACACGTGTTTTGTTTTATTTTTGTGTTCAGAACTGGAAGGCCGGAGTTTTGGTAAGTGCTGTGGATATGCACAATGTGAGAGGTCTGACATTTGAAAATCGGCATTTCTATGATGGGGTTTTTATTTAATTTTAATTTTTAATCTCGTATTTCTGCATGAACTTATTACTTATGGGCTACATACTTTTTTGCTGCTCTATATTAACTTAAAAGGCTACCTTTAATATTATAAAACTTATTTCTCCCACACTGTACAGAATATTTGGTTTTAGCACAAAAAGAACCAAAATAGTGTATTATTACGGGGTCTTCCAGTATTTTAGAACGATTAAAGGAGGAAAATATATGCATGATGGACTCTATATAGCAGTTAGCTAAAATGTTTGATATACACACCCTAGTAGTAATAATAATATATTAACAGCGTTCTAGAGCTAATAATTATACTTAGTTATCCCAACTGGTCCCATCGCCACCAGAACTATTTAGTTTATAAACTGTAAATCCTTTGTTGTGTAACGGCCATTACAAAGCCAACCACTCCAGACTAATAGAAGTAGAGTTTACTTTCTAAATTTAAGCAATGTTAAATATACCTATTATAACTTATAATAAATAGTTATAGTTTGTTTTTGACAAAATAGAGAACACCTCTAACTCCTGGGAATGTTTCCGTGCACGTGTTGATAGTTTTTCTTTCAAGTATCACATTGAATCGATTCTAATCCATCTGCCTCGTAATCGAGGCATACGAGGTGTGGCTATTAAATAACGAGACTTGTTACGAAAAAGTGTTTTATTATAAGAATTATTCTACATTCAAATGCTCCCCTTCAATATACTCCCCTCCCCTCGCCACACACCGTTTCATTCGTTTCTTCCATTGCTCGAGGCTGGAAGTCTGTTTTCGTAAGACCATTCAGGAGTTCCGCCGATTTTTGTTTCACCTCTTCCATCGACTCAAACCGGATTCCTTTTAAGGCAGACTTTATCTTCGGAAACAAGTAAAAGTCGCAGGGTGTCAAGTCGGGTGAGTAAGACGCGTGTTAGAGTACTGAAGTGCCTTAAGCGGCCAAATAACGCTTCACGCTTTATCCTGGTGCAAGATCCACGACTTGTTTTTCCACAATATCGACCGTTTCTTACGAACTCATTCGCGCAATGTTGCCAAAACTGTCAAATAGTAATGTTGGTTCACAGTTTGACCCTCTGGAACCCATTCAGTCATCACGATGCCGTTGATATCGAAGAAAACGGTTTTGAATTTGGATTACGACTGAATTGGATTCCGGTGCACTCTCGACCTTCAGAAAATAATTTATGCCACTCAAAAACACGCGCCCGAGATAGGAAATCCTCACTATAGGCCTCTTTTAACAACTTATAGCACTCAGTTGGAGTTTTTTTTAGTTTAACGAGAAAATTTTATGTTTATCCGTTGCTCATGTTTTTCGTCACACATGCATTTCGGCACGAGAAAAAAACACGTTCGTTTCAAATCACTACTGCACAAATACTATAATAGTGACGAAAATGTGTTTTGGTACGTGCATAGATAAGATATCTGGATACCCAACGCATTACTCGTTTTTTTTACTACCCATCTAGGGCGCCCTCTAGGCGAGTAGTCTCGTTATTTAATAGTCACACCTCGTATGTTCACACTTTAACTAATACTTTTATACTTCTTTTTTTTTATGATTTCTACTATTATTATTTAAATAATATCAGTGTAAAATAATTCTTCAGTACATAAAATTAAAAATTTCGATTCAGTATAATTCAAAAGTTCAACACACGTCTTTCTCGGCAATCAAAGGATAGTTTGTCTATAAACTGTGTCATTAATAAGCAATGTTACTTTATTCAAAGGAGTAGCACATCTACGGCTGCGGCAGCATTCGCTATTGCTACGTCAGCTTCGAGTAATCCGCGGGAACTCTCTCCGTTACATGATCCCAGATGCTGTTCAGTAGAACGAAAACGAAAAGAGTCTGTTATGTCCACTGCAGCTACAATGCGGGTATTGAATGTTTTAAAACATTGGATATCCAAGCACCCACAAGTACAATTAAATAAACTAAAACCATCATTATAAGTACTAATAATGTTATGCATAAAAACTTTAGGATTTTGAAAATGAACCACGTCTAAAAAATATGACCATAGAGTTTTTGGAAGATATACTTTTCAGCCCTAATCTGTTACCAGCTGAGCACAAAATAGCTGGTCAATTATTAAGATTGCTCACGATGCAGGACGAAACAAAAAACCCGATTATTGATCTTAACGCTTTGTTGAATCCCATTCAGGTACTGTAATATTATATTAATAAATTATTTAGGTTTTTTAAAACTATTTATAAATTATATAAACTATATCGGCTTTTGTAGAATTATAACTAATTACAGAATTAACTATTAACGGAAATACTTATATATATAAATTATCTTGAAAATTATATAATCTAGTTTACTAATTAGTAAATCAGAATGCGGTTATATTTAAAATAAACTGAGAAATATTTGTATACAAAAATAAGAAAAAAAAATTAATTATACTAATTTATTTTTTATTAACATAAAAATAATTTTTTTTTTCAGATTCCTAGTGCTGAAAATACTGATACATTGTCTGCATTGGAAATCGCCGAACAGATGACTTATATGGATCATCAAATATTTATAAGAATCCAAAGCCAGTAAATACTATTCTCTTTTAATAACATTTCTTTGACCGGAAATGTGTTATTAAGTCGGTGGTGGTCAAAAATGATTAATTCATAGAGAGGAAGGGGGGATAAGGAAAAATCAAAAAGTATTTTAATGTATATAATTTTTTTTTCCTAGCTATAAAGATATATTATAAAATTTTAAGAAAAATGAAGCAATATGGAAATATATCCTCACTCTCCTTGTTTGACTATCACTGAATCAAGTTCCACATCACATTTCCAAACAATTATATAACCATTATAAATTTTAATTTATCTATTATATTTTTAAAATATTGTCCGAAACTTATATAACTATACCAGTATGAATATTTACTTAGGCACTTTACTATTTTTGGAATACTTCATAATAATTTATCATCAATCATCTACTTTTTATTAAAGTGCAAAAATAATATATAATTAAAATAATTATAAAAATAAAATGATTAAAATGAATTTTGAATAAATATAAATATGTAGTTTAAGACTTTAATTACAGTTTATAATAATATTTACAATTAGATGTTCTGTATAGTATCAGAGACGTATTCAGAAATTTAGCACCCGGATGCTAATGTTTTTCTAACCCCCTCCCCCACACCCGAAAATAATTATTAGATTTTTTCCACCTACCGAGCGCGTCTGAGCTTACTTTCCTGTGACTACCCGGTATCGTTATCCTTTTTAGAACAAACATTAGGAAAAAAAGAAAGTAGATTTCAAACTATTAATAAACTAAATAATATAAAATATATTTGGTTATTATCCACTATAATTACAAAACTCATTTATATGTCATCATACTCTAATTTTTTTGTAAAGTCTGATTCGATGTTTAATATGGCGATACTGTTTAGTAGTTCATCAGTTATCCTCGATCGCAAATAACTTTTAATTAATTTTAATGCACTAAACAATCACACTGAAGAGCAGTTTGACACGGGACAACATAGATACATTCTTAGAGCGATATTTACGTTACGGTATATGTCTTCAAATCCTTCAAATCTTGTCTATACTCTATAGATGTTACAATCTTAGAATATTCACCAATTTATATAATTTTTAATTTTTATTAACAGAAGATGGGTTATGAAAAAATTTGATGCCGCCCGAAGCGATCTCCCCCTCTAGTCCCTCCCCCCTAAATACGTTACTGATAGGTATACATTTTTTAGATTTAACAGATCATTAAAATCTTCTCTGATCTAATTAATTAAACACATTCAATTAAATATTACCTATATTTTATGAAATATATGATATTGAATAAGTACCTAACTTTTGTGGTGCTATCATTTGTATACTTTTATTTTGTTAGGGAATTTTTTGGTCGTGCTTGGATGAAAGACGATAAACATATCAAAGCACCGCACATCATTCTAATGACTAAGAGATTCAACGAGATATCACAACTGGTCGCTTCAGAAATCATGCGTAAGCCCAACATTGCTACCAGAGTAGTAACTATAGAAAAGTGGGCCGCAGTCGCCGACATATCCCGGTGCTTGCACAATTTCAACGGTGTGCTTCAAATATGCTCAGCGTTTACCAACAGTTCCGTATTCAGATTAAAGAAAACGTGGGAAAAAGTGTCAAAAGCCGTACGTAGAATATTATATTTCTCAAATGTATAATAATATCTAACCATAAAACAAAATATCATATTTTATTCTACAAAAACAATTATTTTTATTTTTGCAATATTTGAATAATATTATTACATACCAATTAATATTTCAGAATGTGTAATTAGAGTGTTTTGCAATTGTGTTTGTCTCCATTAACCCTTTCACTGCACTTTTAAATTATTGTACACTAACAAATCAAGTAATTTTAGTTTCTGAGTGAAGTAAAGGAGCTTATGGTTTTACAAAGATGTTTATTTTATATTTTCTGTGGACAACTTTTCTACCACAGGACTTGCTCCGATTTTTACGTGTAGCAACTTTTCTGAAAGGAAATCGGTATGGGAAGGTACCTTATAAAGGTCATTTTTCGATTTTCTCCGGAGTTTTCTGAGCAAATATGAAAAACTAGAAAAAACATAGAAAAACCGAGAAAAACCTAGGAAAACTGGGGAAATCGGTAAAACAAATAGTATTAAAAAAAATATATAGCGCTTATTTAATTGTTTTACTATAATACGACATATATATTGTTGGCAAAGCAACACTATTAACTAAACTCCGCTCAGAATCGTTTTTTCAATCAAAATGAATTTTGATTTGTATTGACTCTTTTATTTTTGATAGTTAATTCATCCTTGGAAGAACAATAAATTATTATTTTTATTTTTGTTGTCAGTTTATCAGATTTTATCAGATCAATGGCTTATCAATGAAATTTGTTATGTACATCAATAGCAGTGAAAGGGATTAGCATTTTTCCTAATTTGGATTTTTGAATTTTATACTTTATTTAAATTTATAAATATTACAACAAGTTTACCATTGTGATACAATATTTATCTTTATTTATATAATATTTATATTTATGATATTTGAAAATATAATATTAATAATAGACAAACAAAATATTATCCGGGACAAACACGATGAAAAATTCTATAATAACTTTAATAGAACAATAAAACTTATTTGATATTTGTCCTACTTCACACTACCTATTTTCATGTAGACGAAAATATCAGTTCAAAAACTTCAGGTAATCGTCTCATCCGATGGAAGGTTTCGAAATCTTCGTGAAGCTCTACACCGATGCGACCCGCCTTGCATTCCGTATTTAGGAATGTATCTAAGTGATTTATCGTTTTTAGAAGAAGGAACACCAAGCTTAGCAGACGATGGTCTACTCAATTTTTCTAAATTACGTATGGTATGTGTATAATCACAACATTAAGTTATTTTTCAATAAAATATTATGTTACACAATTTTAAAAAGTCGATATCATATTATACTTTGTACCATGGTTGTAGCACTTAAATAGTTGAGTATTTACAAAGTAAGATGAAGTAGGATGAACCTAATTTCAAATTTTCGAATATTTTTACTAAACTAGAAAAATCCTACTACCATAATAACAAATAAAACTAAAAATAAAAAGACTCAAAAATTTCGAATGAGAATAAATGGCTCAAAAATCGTTAGAATGTTTTTAAAATTATCACTTCTAGAAAGGGCTAGTATAAGTTTGGCGAAAATTGCAGGCCTCTAAAATTATTCTTAAGTTTTAATTGAATCACCTATAACAAAAAAAAAAAAACAGAAATCATTGTTGTTTAAATTTCACGTTTTTTACGGTTGAGAATGACTTTGGAGGTTAGTAATAAGTTGCCTATACCAATTAATTTCATCAAAATCAGTTCAGTCGTTAAACTCTGAAAACTTAACATACATTACATATAGAGTTATTCTCACATATATAATATTAGTAATACTAATATAATTATTAATTACTACCCTCTTTCCATATAACATAATACATTTTTGAAAAACAGATTCAAAAAGTATATTTTAGATCCCCCCCCCCAAAAAAAAGTTAGTTGATTTTACTAGGTTAGGTATATCATAGAAACTCCATAATTGATCTAAATAATGTACATTAATTATTTGTATATTTGTCTCTTGTAAATATGTATAAAAACAAAATTAGGTCATAAATTATTGTACATTTTTAGATCGCGCACGTAGTACAAGAAATCCGTCGATTTCAACAGACACCATACAAAATCGATTACCAAGCTAGGGTAGCCAACTATCTATTGGACACGTCGTTTCTGATGAACGAGGACGAATTGTATACCAAATCATTGGAGATCGAACCACGACCGTCCCGGTTAAGCATCACGAATCTGTCGAATTCACCACATCAGGGCAGCAGTGGTGGTAGCCAATGACGGCGGTTCAGTGCCAAGGGAAATCTGTCATCCGCGTGCTTTAAGTGAATACGACTTATTTTGCGCGACGAAGAATGCTGGTGGCGGCAGTGGCACGATATTATATTACTAACCAATATTAGGATAATTTCAATTTTACTTTGTGTCCCAATATCATATGACAACCTTTTAACGACCATTTCGATTTTTTAATTCGATATGACTGCCGATATCACCTCGCCGCCACATTTACCGCCGTCTCCTGTTAGGTATTTCGATCACTTCACGCACGACTTCACGATAATACGAGTATATAATATCCATTGTATTAGAGATTTCCGCTTGGCCTCACTGCCATAATACTGTGCCTTCGCTACATAAAAGGTTTTTTCAATAACCATATTACATAATAATTTATAATCGGTATTGTTGTTTAGTATTTTATATATGCATTTTATTCTAATGTAAATTTTACTCAAATTTTTCGTAATACCGTCTTCCAGTTATGTTGCATGACGATACAAAGTACTTTGTGTCGTTTTCCTCGATATTTTGATTCGCAAAACACAAATGTGATTTAGATCACAAATCCCTCATTTAATCTATGAAACCGATTTCCAAGTCACCGTACCAAGTATAAGATGCTTCCGCTGACTACTTTTGTTGATTAAAAGTGTTTCATTATTAGGAACTTCAGAATATATTTTTAACTATAGTATACGTTATAGACGAATATTTAAATATGGACGTATGAAGTACAAGTACTGTTTCGTTAAATTTTGATCAAAGGTGAGAAATATTTTATTTGTAGTACAAAACATGATGTATAAAATAATACTCATTCTACAACACACTCATCGTATCCTCAGAGGCATACGCAGGGAGAGCGTGTAAGAGGTTATAAACTCCCATAGGCTTGAAAATACAATAACGATGTATATTTATTTAGTAAATTTATCTTAGAAATTATATATTTTAGCCAAATTACAAAGAAAAAAGCTTGATTTATTGGATTTTAAAAAATGAATTAGTTTAGATTCGGCTTTTAGATTTTCATTGTCATGTTAAGTATAACAGGAAATTATATGGTTTTTTTCGTGAATCATACTTAATATTTACTACATATATCATTAAGAATTCCAAGGCTCGTCACTGTCCAGAATTCGACTTGAAATTATAATACAACACAAAAAACAATACTCAAAAATACAATTATATTATAATATACATGGTTTGAGGCTAGTACCAACTATTTTATTATTTTCAACAGTGAAGTACTGAAAGAGATGATATGGGTGAACATCACCTCCCCCCCCCAAAAAAAAAAAGTCTAGACCTAAGATATTTTTCTCTTTTTTGCAATAATTTATCACAAAAAATTTAAAATGTGAAATATTTAAAATATCAATGAAACCTCTAAATACTAGACAATTTTGATCACTAAAATTTTGTCCGCTATTATTCAAAGGTATCCGTTATTCAGAGGGAGAAAGTGTCCGTTCTTTAGTGTTCCGCATTTAGAAACTTGCCTATAGGTAAGTAGTGAAAATATCCCTAGTCCCAAAAAAACGTCCGTTGTTTGGATGTCCGCTATTTAAAGATATCTATTAAGGGAACCGTATCAATGTTAGCTCGGTAATTAATTCGTTTAAATATAATTAATATAAGTTTATTGTATATTATTTATGATTTTATCTTGATATTTTAACCAAAAATTCATATCACCCAAAAAGATCCTAATTACGCCACTGATTTATAATATATTTGTTACCTACTTGTTTCTGAATATTTGAGGATAAGGGGATGTAAACTATGTATGTACTTTGACCGAGAAACGGAGTTATCTCGTCTCCCAGTTTTACATTTTACAATAGTTATTAACATTCCGAAGCAGTGAAGTATACCCCGTGTACCTAATTTATATTCATTCGTCTCTCTCTCCGCTAATGATAATTGTTAACATTCAATTTTAAATGATATCTGTAGATATTTGGAATTGAAACAGATTAAAAACATCTGAAATCACAAGAATAACATTTTGCATACGGTGACTTGGAAAAATAATACTAATCATAATAATATATTGCACATTATAAACATATTATCAGTAAGAAATTTAAAATTCTGGTCTTCAGGTTAATCCTGGTTCTTGGTTTGTAATCTCGCCTCTTATTTTTTATAAATCGAATATTGTTTTGAGTAATTGTCGTTAATAATAATTTGCCATTGTATTGATAATTGTATTGTAGGAAGTTTTTTTTTTTAACTTCCATTTTTTTTTCTTCTGTGTCTTCTGACTAATAGATATATACGTATTATGGTATGTCGTTGTTTTATACTTAACCGTTTAAAATACTATTATAAAACATGGTGTTAAACAGTATAATTTAAGCTTAAATAAAATATTAATATTTGTCTGAAGCACTGAATATTGTTCAATATAATATAATTCAATAAAACACTTTGCAAACAAAACACCGGTTCAAGTGATAATGAATTGCATAACGTTCTAAACTAAGATACGTCCAAACAGTAAGATTCTTACGTGTTTAAGGGACAAAGAAAGAGCTAGACTTTAGCTTTAGGGTGTGTACCTAATAGTCCTATCTATAAATTAGAATGTAGGAGATTCGTTTTAAATATTATTTGATTGTTGGGATAAATAAATAGTGATTGTAATACTTGAAAAATGTTTTTTTCTTTTTTATTTTAGTTCATTATTTTTACGAAATGTCAATATGCGTAATAACTGTAAGTAATTATTTTTTTTTTTTTTAATTCGGGTAAATATTAATTTAAATACATAATATTATAAATGAAAAATTAATTTTCTTCAATTTGAACAGTATATATTTAGAGTGTGTTAAAGCATTCGGATTCGGAAAAAAAATCAAATGAAAAAAGCAACATAAAAAAGCAATATTTTAATTTTAAATATTATAATATAAAAAGTAATATTATTGGTTAGTACTACATAATATTATATAGTACCATATAATAGGTACCTACACTATATTTCAATACCAATGACTATATTATATATTTAATGATAATATTTGAAATGTTTTCACAAAAATAATTATTGGAGCAAGTTATTGAAATCTGCAATCGAGAATCGAAAGTAAAAAAAAAAGACTACTATTGTAATGTAATTACAAAATGAATAAAAAAACATTAAAATAAACATATGGTTATAACATAATTTAATGGAAAAAAAATAATCTAAATATGTTTGTCCCAAAATAAGAACAGTTGGAAAAAAGAAATTTGAATTTATACGAGTATGATTTATAATTTATAGTTATTTATTTTAAAAACCAATATGTACATTCAGTATTGTATAATAATCTCACTAATAATTTTGCTTTGGAAATATTCAAATATATACAATTAATTTGACATTGAGGGTTTTTATTTGTTACTTGTGTAAATACCTAGTTTTCTTAAATAAAAAATGTATAGTGCGAGTTGATCAAGTCAATTTAAATTGGAAACTATTCTTACTTCTTAGAATTTACATGTTTAAAACCTTAATAAATTAAATTTATTTCCTTGTTAAAAACAAAAGAATTACAATATTTTCGTTCTTATTACTAAAAATAATGAATTAATTCACGTTCCTATTCCTTTAAAAAATAATGGAATTAATTACTTCATTCGTTTCTCTAAAAAATATTCCAGGAATTGTTCCTTTAGAAACGCGTTCCTTAACAACACTGGGTACATTGTATTATTATTGGTATATTATAGAATAAGTCATATGAAATAATAGTACATTACATCATGCATAGATACAATAACATATTAATATAAAATTTAAAAAAAAAAAAATTCTAAATTTAAAAAGAAAATAAATGATATACACGTATGACACATATATTATACATAGAGTAAAAAAAATATGTAGGTACCTATAAAAAAATGTATTTATTTAAAACTTATATTATATGCTACAGCGCTTAAAAAATTTGTATTCGATTTCGATAACTTACATCAATAATTACTTTTGTAAAAAATTTTAAAATATTATCATTGAATATATTATAAAAATATAGTTATTAATAATATTAAAATATTTTGTAGGTACTATGGTACTATATAGATGGTGTATGGTACTATATAATATGTAGTATTAACCAATAATATTACTTTTCATATTATGTGTAAAATAAATATTTTGCTTTTTTCAATACTTTTTTTTTCCTAAACTCGGCATACCCCGTAGCTCCACCTAGATTATAAACTATTATTTATATAATTCAGATTATTTAATTTTCAAATTCAAATTATCTCCCTCCTGAAAAAATTCTATATCTGTCACTTTTGTAAATTGTTATCAAAATAAATGTCTACTTTATACACTTATACGCAAATAATTTAATAAGTAGTTACTTCGTTATTTTTCTTTTTTGAGAAACGTCACTAGGTATATTATTAGAATACCCAGAATCTATTGTTCGAATTTTCGAATCAACGTACGCATTGTATTTCGTGACTCATGTATCTACCTATTAAAATGTATAGGTTTGAATAATGCATATACAAATTAGATATATCTATACTTTAGAATCAATTTTGATAATGTGACGAAAACTAAAATATTCATATTTTTTTAAGCAATTATAATGTTTATTAACAAATATCTAATTTTTAATCTCTTTCCTGATTGACACATTATTCTTGTGAATTATACATGATACTTTTTCTGTGTGATACGAGTTTTTATAATAATATTAAATTTACTCTTCATTTTCTATGATATATTTATCATTTATTTATGATTATTGATTATAATATAATATATGGCTATATCATTAATATAACAATAATTATTAGGTATATTATAATATTATGACGTATAGTTGGTGTTTATTATATACCGTGTTTAAAATTTGATTTATTGTAAATTAATTATTTGTTTATTTGTCGATGTTGTCATTTTTTTTTAAATTCTTTTAATATTTATTTTCTATATTATAGATTTAATTAATAATAACTTATCAACGCGCACTTTTAAATAAGACAAATGCAAGATCACAATATAAATGAATAAATATTTATTTTTCAAATAAACGACAATCACCTATAATAGATAAACTGACGTACTGTACTTTATACAAATATATGTAAGTACTTACCTACTTAATTAGATAATGCGGTTTCATAAAAAATAATAACAATATTAATAATGAATAACCATATAAATTAATGTTACCTATATTATATTATTATTATTATGTTTCAAGTAAAAATTTCGAATTGTCTTACACTAACATATCGTCGGTGGAGTTTGATCTCTGTTCTATATAATAATGATTAAATTTAATGTACTATATTTATTGTATTATTATTACATATTATATTTCATAATAATATTATTACGGTTTTAGATTTAAACCACACGAAACCATCAGATGCTTAAAAAAATGTGGATGCATAGATGATGTTTTTGAGCTCATTTTTAATTCTAAACATTTTGTTTATACGC